ATCTGCTATTTGACCGCGCCCCTGGCAAGCCTCGTGGCAGATGGGTGGTTCCGACCGCAAGGGTGCCGAGCCCGAGCCACATGGGACATCGCACTGCTCGCCCATCGAGGCGACCGCCTTTTCAATCAAACCTAACGAAATTACTCCAGTGCGACCCTACCTAGAAGTTGGAGCCCCTAGGAAAGCAGCATTAGTTGCTATGCTATGCTATGCCATGCTCTGCTGCGCTATGCTATGCTATGCTGCGCTATGATATGCTATGTTATGCTGTGCTATGCTATGCTAAGCTATGCTATGTCATGCGGCGCTGTGCTATGCTAAGCTATGCTATGTTATGATATGCTGCGCTATGCTATGCTTTGCGTTACTGCTATGCTATGCTATGCTGCGCTGTGCTATGCTGCGCTGCGCTATGCTATGCTATGCTGTGCTATGCTATGCTGCGCTACGCTGTGCTATGCTGGGCTTTGCTATGATATGCTGTGCTGCGCTGTGCTGTGCTACGCTCTGCTATGCTATGCTATGTTGTGCTGGGTAAGCTAAGCTAAGATAAACCTGAGCTAAGATGAAGCTAAGCTAAGGTCAGATGTAATAAGCCAAGCTAAGATGAGATAAGCAACGCGAAGCTAAGGGAATGTCACTGGGGGAACTGCGGGGCGGATGCCGGGGGAACCGCCCGGGGCGGGCCCCACTGCCCGGCCCTTTAAGCCTCCGAGTACGAACCCTTCTAGGCAGAGCCGAGGTAGGGAAATAAGCTAGGCTAAGATGAGATAAGCAACGCGAAGCTAAGGGAACGTCACTGGGGGAACCGCGGGGCGGATGCCGGGGGAACCGCCCGGGGCGAGCCCCACTGCCCCCGGCCCTTTAAGCTTAGCTATGCTATGCTAAGCTGCGCTATGCGATGCTATGCTATGCTATGCTATGCTATGCTATGCTGCGCTATGCTATGCTATGCTATGCTATGTTATGCTAATGCAGCGCTGCGCTACGCTAAGTTAAACTAAGCTAAGCTTAGCTAAGTTAACCATCTAAGCAGAGCCTAGGTAGGGAATTACACCCATGCTATGATATGCGATGCTGCGCTATGCTATGCTACGCTATGCTATGCTATGATGTGCTCTGCTATGCTAAAGCTCAGCGAAGCTAAGATGAAGGTCAGCTAAGCTAAGATCAACTGAGGTAACATGAAGCTAAGATCAGGTAAGATGAAATAAGCTAAGCTAAGCTGAGATAAGCAACGCGAAGCTAAGGGAACGTCACTGGGGGAACCGCGGGGCAGATCCTGGGGGAACCGCCCGGGGCGAGCCCCACTGCCTCCGGCCCTTTCAGCCTGCGAGTAAGAACCCTTCTAGGCAGAGCCTAGGTAGGGAATCAGCTTCTCAATCAAACATAACGAAATCAGCGGGAACTGAACAAAAAAACGTCCAGATCTGCTATCGAGGCCCATCGCAGGTCTACCAGCGATGCACCGCCGATTCCAGCTCAACGCCCACCCCCCCTCCCCGAGACGGTCCCCCCCGTCCGGTTGCCCCTCGACCATATCAGGCCCGGGCGCGCGTAACCGGGGGCAGCGGCAGCGGTGGCTCCTCCGACCCCTTTGGCTGACCCTGGTTCTGGGAGCCATGTTAAAACAGGGCTAGGATCGGGATAAATCGCTCCAGAGCGTTCCGGAGCGCTCTCAGAGCGTTCTGGAACGCTCTGGAGCGGCCGCGGCGCCCAATACATCCTCCAAACCCGCCGATTCTCAGAGATTTCGAGTTACCCCGATCCGATTTTGTCCCGATCTTCGCGTCGTTTTACTGGTTCTGGGAGCCACGTGGAGCCGACTCCCCCCATCCCCGCCCTCCGCTGCCGCCGGCCTGGGTCTCGGAGCCGGCTTCGTTGGCCTGCCCCGGCTCGGGGCGTGGCCCTGGCTCCTCCTCCTTTCCTCCTCCTCCTCCTCCTCCTCCTCCTCCTCCTCCTCCTCCTCCTCCTCACCCCTGGCCCCTTCCTCTCCCCCTCCCCCTCCTCCTCCTTCTCCTCCCCCTCCTCCTCCTCCTCCTCCTCCTCCTCCTCCTCCTCCTCCTCCTCCTGTTCCTCCTCCTCCTCCGCCTCCTCCTCCCCCACCTCCCTCTCCTCCAAGCCTTCCTGACCTGGGTTGGCGCGCCCCCATTGAGGAGGGCACACGTCGAGCCGCTCGACCCGGCTCGGCGTCGACCTCGGCCTGCTTCGATGCTGCCCGATGCTCGATGCTGTGCATGGCGCCGCTGTGCATCATGGCGCGGCCGAGCCGACGCGCGTCCCGATCCTGCCCGACTGGCCAACTTGGTGCCGACTGCTCCTGCCGGTGCCCGTGCCGCCACGACGCGTGCCTGCCAGAATGCAAGATCTAAGATGCTCGTTGTGGGGGCCATCTTGAGGGCCACCTGACATATCTCAGAGCGTGAATTACCTACCCCGCTTTCGCTTCCAGGCAAAACCAAGTCATACCATACGCCTCCTCGTCAAGCGGCCTGACCAGTACATGCCGTAGTTTGGCATCGCTTGGTATCTCTTGGAAGCGAGGTTGGTCAAAAGCGAGGTAGGTTTGTTTGCCCCGTAATATCTGTCCGACTCTAGTTCGAATCTCCTTCGACTCTAACTCCGATTGTGGCTCGGTTCAAGTTCGACTCGAGGCGACGGGCGTGCGACGCAGCAGCGACGCATGAGCGGAGCGAATGGCTCCAGGGAGGTCCCCAGACCGAGATGGGCCCCAGTGGCCGAAATCGAGGAGAAACGCCGAGATTGAAGATGTCACATTGTAACCCACATAAGTCTTTAGAAATCCCCTGGCCAGTAGATGGAAAATAAGTATCATTCGGGCGAATTTATTGACAACTCGGAAAAAACGACCCCGCCAGACAATAGCGGAAAATAATCATAGTTCGGGCGGTCCGAGTACGAGTTTATTCACCGCCGAGAGCTCCAGGGGGGGGGGGAGAAAAAAACTAAAGACTTCCTCAGGTTAGGAGGTCTGGGTGCACGGAGAGGGGGCCAACCGTGTCAGACAGAGTTGCTTCAGCGGGTCGCGCAGAGAAAAAGAACAGGAAAATGTGTGGGGTTGCGACAGCTGCTGCGTTCACCTGGTGTCGGCAGCTGCCAAGCGCTTCCCTCGAGACGTGGCCGCCTCGGGCGCTGGGAGACGCCAGTAAAGCCGGGTACGTGGGTTGATGCGCTACAGTCGGCCCAGATTAGTAGGTCGACACTGCCAAATCAAGGATACCCTTGTGTCCTGTGTCTCGCGACCCATGCCTCCTGCATTCCTGCGGCAATGTGGCCCTCGGAAGGGTCTTTGGTCCTCTCGCGTGTCCTGTCCAATGAAGGCCGACTGTCGAGACAGTTGTCCTTTGGACTCCAGCAAATTTGCTTCGACGGAGGGAGTGGGGGGGTGGCGCGGCGAGGCCCGGAACGGAAATCTGCCAAGCCGCGGCTCATTTGCAAGCCTCTTCGGCCCAAGGGTGCTCGAAGAAGCGGCGCGGGGAAAGGGGAGAGATGCCATGCAAGTCAAGCTGCTTGAGTCGACAGAAAATACCTCCCTGACCCTACCTTCACAAACCCCTTGTTTCGGTCGCATGAAGGCAACGGGTCCTCAGGGAAACGGGTCTTGGACACGGGGGCCTCCCTCCAGGACCAGTTATTCACCCTGAGTCCTTCTTTGGCGGTCCCGGGGCCCGTGGAGGGCCCCGGGGAGCTAAAAACAGCGTTTCCGACATGTGCGACGGACATTCCCGCGTAAGGATGCCCGCGTGTAGCGTGCTGCGCTGGCGACCCGCGTACGGCGCGGCATAAGATCGCTATGGCATCGCGCGTGAGTAGTAGTAGTAGTAGTAGTAGTAGTAGTAGTAGTAGTAGTAGTAGTAGTAGTAGTAGTAGTAGTAGTAGTAGTAGTAGTAGTAGTAGTAGTAGTAGTAGTAGTAGGAGGAGGAGGAGGAGGAGGAGAGGAGGAGGAGGAGGAGGAGGAGTAGTAGTAGTAGTAGGAGGAGGAGGAGGAGGAGGAGGAGCCGAGGACGATTAAGGTAGTAGTAGTAGTCGTAGTCGTAGTCGTAGTCGTAGTCGTAGTCGTAGTCGTAGTCGTAGTCGTAGTCGTAGTCGTAGTCGTAGTCGTAGTCGTAGTCGTAGTCGTAGTCGTAGTCGTAGTCGTAGTAGTAGTAGTAGTAGTAGTAGTAGTAGTAGTAGTAGTAGTAGTAGTAGTAGTAGTAGTAGTAGTAGTAGTAGTAGTAGTAGTAGTAGTAGTAGTAGTAGTAGTAGTAGGAGGAGGAGGAGGAGGAGGAGGAGGAGGAGGAGGAGCCGGATGACGAATTAGAGGAGGAGGACGAATTGGATGAGGAGGAGGAGGAGGAGGAGGAGGAGCCGGAGGACGAATTGGAGGAGGAGGAGGAGGAGGAGGAGGGCCTCGCGGGCCTGGCCCCTGCGTGGGAGGGCCCAGTCGACCTGCTCCTGGAAGGCCATTCGTCGCTCTCGCAGCGGCCTCGTCCGGCCCTTGTCCCGCAGGCCGGCACGGCCAGCGCAGCCCCGCGGGCACGTCTCGGTGGCGGCAGAGAGGGGGGTGATGACTGGGGTCAAGCAGTGGCGAAGCGTCCTGGCTCGCCTATAGCCCTAGCAAACAATGTTCTAAGAACCTTTCGTGGTTCCCACGAAATGTTCTTAGAACATTTCTGGCGGAGTCTGTCTTGTTTTATCACATCGGGTTTATGTTCTAAGAACACTGTTTGTGTTCTTAAAGCATTTTTGGGTTCTAGGAACATTTCGTGGTAGGAGTACTTATAGAATGCCGGGACGGTCGGTCCCTGCTCAAGACTGGGGGGGGTGGATATCATGGCGTGGGCCATGATATTTCCTCAGATTTCAAGGCGCCTCTCCTTGTTTCATCGCGTCCCTGGCCCCCCCGCTGGGCCGCGCACGTGCCGCCTGTCATGAGTTGCACCCCCCCCCTCTTGGACACCCCCTCTTGGCCGCTCCCGAACGTCCCCCCCCCCCCGCAGCGCGGCGCCCTGGCCACGGACGCGGAGTCGCGCGAGGCCGGTCCGCGTTCCCCTGCCGCGCCAAGTGTGCCAGTTTCGGCGACTACCTTCTGGGTCGGGCCTGTCCCCCTACAGGGGGTTTTGAGCGAAAGATGAAACAATATTCAAACAATATGCATAACATGCTCAAACATAGGCAACAAAAAACGTCCCCTGATTATTTTTCTACTATTTTTGAATATTCCTCTTGTAGACGGACAGGCCCGATTTAAGACTACTTGAGGGGGTGGTAGCGCCGGGGTGTGGTTTGCGATCTGCGTCGTTGGAGCTTGGGGGCACCACCCGTAGACGCGCTAACGGCGATGTAGGCAACGGCGACGTAGGTTGCGGTATTGTGGGAACGCGTGGTTCGCGCTTTCCTACAATTCGCTGTGCCGTGTTCGCTCGGTCCGTTCGCAGATAGTATTTATGTACGAGGGCGTAGTTTTTGATGTCCTACGTTTTGGTTCCCAACGTCACCGTCAAGCAATATCGCCGTTCTCCCGGCCCTGGACCACGTTGCCCTCGTCGGGCCTCCTTTGGGCGCGGCGGAGAACTCTGCCGAGGTTCTTGGAGTGCGGGAGGCAAGCTGCACCTTTTGCAAGCCACACCCTCCAGAGTCGCTGGCAGCTGGCGGCGCCCGCGAGGCGATGGCACGAGGGGGTCTTGGCTACTGCCCGCACCCCCGCGAAGCCGTGCAGAGAAAGTCACTCAGGAGGGGAAAAATCACACAGACACAATTAATCGTTGATTCCCAGGAAAATATGGGAAGTGGGGGGGAAGACACTAACCCCCAAAAGATAGGAAAATGTGGGGAATTTTTTTATTTGTGTGTATTTATTTGTGTTTCTGACACGCTCACAAGGCGTGGCAGACGTGGCATTTCCTCGACAGCAGAGGTGGTGCGCAAGGATTGTTCCACTGCTTGCCATTCCTCCCATTCCAACCCACTCCTCCTTTTCAACACCAGGCGGGGTGCGGAGGGGGTGGTTTTCTTCACCGATTCACAGAGTAATGGTTGTATCAACGCACCATGTATCAAGTACATGTGTGGGTTTCTTCGGTGGCACAATTTTCTCTTACGCAATGACCACCATCACCATCACCCTCAGTCCTGCATCCTTCTCCTCCTCTCTCCTTCTCCTCCTGCTCTTCCCTCTCGTCCCCTTCCCTCCTCCATCCTCGTCGTCGTCGTCCTCCCCCTCTTCCTCCTCCTTTTTACGCTGATCGGGCTTAAGCTGAGCAGCTGTAGTCCTCCTCCTCCTCCTCCTGCTCCTCCTCCTCCTCCTGCTCCTCCTCCTCCTCCTCCTCCTCCTCCTCCTCCTCCTCCTCCTCCTCCTCCTCCTCCTCGACGTCGTCGTCCTCCCACCTCCGGGCCGCGCGGCGGCGGCGAGCGGGGTCTCCCTGGCGGTGCGGGGTGTGCCGGGGCGTCCGCGCAGCTCCGGGCGGTGGGGCTTCTCCTGGTCGGGGCGCGGCGTGTTCGGGGCGAGCGAGGGTGGCCAGGGCTGAGAAGGCGAAAACCCACCCCCACCCCCAGTGCCGACCCCATTTCCGAACCCGCGATCCAGGGGGTCGGGGCTGGGGGTGGGGGTGAGTTTTCGGGGTCCAGAAATGAAGAAAACCCACCCCCACCCCCAGTCCCGACCCCCTGGATCGCGGGCTCGGGGTGGGCGTCGGGACTGGGGGTGGGGGTGGGTTTTCGCCTTCTCAAGGGGGAGGGGGGGGGTGGACGACAAGGGAGGGGAGGGGGGAATCATTCGCGATTCCTCGTCCTCATCCTGTTCGTTCTCCTCTTCTGCCTTTTATGGGCGGCGCGAGAGCGCGAATTGGTTCGCGCTCTCGCGCGGCGCGAAGCGCGAGCACAGCTGCCCTTGTGAAGAGGCGGGGGAGGGGCGACGAATGCGATGGCAAGGGCGGTGAGTCGGGTCCAGGATCAGATGAATCGCGCCAGGGCGTCCCAGAACGCTTACCGCACGTTCTGCAGCGCTGTAAGAAGGCCGCGGTTCCCGATGCATTTTCCAGAGCCGCCAGATCTCAGAGATCCACGATTCATCCTGGTCTGGTGTTGCCCTGGTCCTGGCATAGTCTTACAGGGGGTGAAGAGGTGGGGGAGGGGCGACGGGGCAGAAGCGGGGAAAGAGACGGGGAGACGGAAGGTGACCAAGGAGGAGGGAGGAGGAGGAGGAGGAGGAGGAGGAGGAGGAGGAGGAGGAGGAGGAGGAGGAGGAGGAGAAGGGTAGGAGGACGAGGGCGAGAAGGGGGTAGAGGGGGTGGGAGACGAAAATGAGGGGGAGGAGGTCGGATACACGAGGCCGATGGGTTGGAGGTGGAAGTGTAATGTCAGCTTGTGATTAACAAATGATGGACCCACCCTGGGGCTGATTCAATACACCCCGCGGGGCGCGACACATTCTTTGAAATCGCGCGCGCCAGGGCTCGGAGAGCACGGCGAACCACCGCCCCGCGGACGATGGCGAATGGCATGAACGAGGAGGGGGAGGAGGAGGAGGAAGAAAGGAGGAGGAGTAAGAATCTGAGGAGGAGGAGGAACATGGGGAGGAGGAGGAGGAGGAGGAGGAGGAGTACATAGGAGGTGGAGGGGCAGGAGGGAGGAGGAGAGGAGGAGGAGGAGAGAGGAGGAAGGAGGGAGGAGGAGAGAGGATGGGGAAGAGGAGGAGGAGGTGGAGGTGGAGGAGGAGGAGGAGGAGGAGGAGGAGGAGGAGGAGGAGGAGCAGGATGAGGAAGGGAGGAGGAGAGAAAGAGGAGGAGGAGGAGGACGAAGTGGACGAAGAGGACGAGGATATGGAGAAGGAAGAGGAGGGGGAGGAGGAGGAGGAGGAGGAGGAGGAAGAAGGAGAGGGGGAGGGGGAAAAAGGGGGAGGAAGGGAGGCCAGGATGGGGAGGGAAACGGGCCCGCTCTGCCACGCCTCGCCGCGGGGCGCTGCGGTGGACGCGTGTCCTGCAGGAACTGGGCCTTGGTAGGTTTTTCTTGTTTTCGGGTCCCCAGGCCCTTCGGCGGGCCCCGGGGCAGCCGCAAAACGATCGAGCTGGTCCTGGTGGAAACTCCACGGTTCTGGGCCCGGTTCCTTCGGGGTCCGTTTCCATCGCGGCGGCGAGAGCCCCGTTCGATTGCGAAACAAGGAAATAACGCGGCGGTGGCGGCGCCGACGGCCCCTGCCTCTGCCGCCCTTGCTTCCCGCCCCCCCCACTCCCCCAGTCCGTGCTGCTTCTGTCGCCTTCTCGCTGGCGGCCAGGTGTCGGCGCCAATCGCCGGCGCCGCCGCGTTGCGTTTTAATTTGGCGGACGCCACCACGCGGTTCGCCCGGTCAGGAAAACCTTTGTCTTAATCACACGAGCCCCATTGATTTGTGAATTACCTACCTAGGCTCTGCCTAGAAGGGTTCTTACTCTCTAGCTTAAAGGGGCCGGGCAGTGGAAAGCGCCCCGGGCGGTTCCCCCAGTCCCCTGGGAGCGGTTCTCCCCAGTCCCCTGGGAGCTTTAGTTTTAGCTTTAGCTTTAGCTTTAGCTTAGCTTTAGTTTAGCTTTAGCTTAGCTGTAGCTTAGCTTTCGCTTAGTTTTTTTCGCTTAGCGTTTAGAATAGCTTTAGCTCAGCTTTAGCTTAGCTTTAGCTTAGCTTGAGCTTAGCTGCTTTTAAGCTGCAGCTTAGCTTTAGCTTAGCTTTAGCTCAGCTTTAGCTTAGCTTTAGCTTAACTGTAGCTTTGCTTTAGCTTAGCTGTTTTTCAGCTTTAGCTTAGCTGCTGCTCAGCTGTAGCTTATCTTTAGCTTGGCTTTAGCTTAGCTTTAGCTTAGATTTAGCTTAGCTTTAGCTTAGCTTTAGCTTAGCTTTAGCTTAGCTTTAGCTTAGCTTTAGCTTAGCTTTAGCTTAGCGTTACTGTTACCACTAGTGTTGCTTTCCTAGGGGTTCCAACTCCTAGGTAGGGTCGCACTGGGATGATCACGAGCTAAGATTAACCTGGCGACTTTGCAGGCGCGTCCTGTCCAGCAAGCGCTTGCCGTTAGAAGATCAGCCGACCATGTCAACGCTGGCCGAAGCCTCCTTCCTCATTCCCCCCTCCCCTCTGTCGTGCTATCCCCCCTTCAATTTTTCTCCCCCTGCGGGCCTCCCGCGTCCCGCCTTCCCCCTGCTCGCCAGGCCTTGCCCGCCATTGTTTTTCTTCTTTCCGTTTACTCTTTCGGGCGCTGCCCGCATTCGCGCCACCCGGCCGATCCCACCCGCGCGCGAGAAACAACTATAGTCTTTGCGGCGAAGAAGAAACCCCGCAAGGTGGAACCCAAGAGGGGTCTGGGAACTGTCGCCGCCGCCGCCGCCACCGCCGCCGCCGCCGTCGTCGCCGCCGTCGTCGTCGTCGTCGTCGCCGTCGCCTTCAACGTCGCCGCCGTTGTCGTCGTCGTCGTCGTCACCGTCGTCGTCGTCGTCGTCCTCATCCCTCTTTCTCTTTCGTCCTGTCCCATTCCATCATCGTCAGGACCGTCCCAGGTATCATACGTTAGCTCGCCCAGCGCTCCCCTCTGCGCAGGGGCGCTTCGCGAGACTCGCAGGCTCCTGGGGGTTCTTTGGGGGGCCCTCTTCGGGCGTCTCGGTGGCCCTGTGGGGCCGGGCCATCCGAGATGTTGAGCCCCGCCCCCCCCCCCTACTCCAGATGTCGTAATAAAAGGGAGGGGGTCTGGACCTTCCAAGACAAGCCATTTCAGACCACCCCCGTGGGAGAACCCTCCAAAACATCGTCCCCAGACCCCCCCAGGCCCTCCAAGATAGCCTGGAAGAGACCCCCCCGAAATGAGACCCCCCTCCCTTTTATTACGAAATCTGGAGTACCCTGTATCGCCCCCCTATCCCCGACATCCACCAGCATGATTTTCGCAGTCTGCGGCGTCAGAGCTCCCGATCCCCTCCCCTGGGAGTGGCTCCGCGTCCCCAGTGCGTGTTTGGCATGGGGCCCGAAGGCGGCCTCCGGGGGTCGAACTCGAGGAGCCACGCCGGGACGTATCAACATCATATCGTCGGAAACCTGGATGTCGTTGCCCCTCGAGACAGGCCGGCCTCCACGACCAGATGCGCGACATGATGGCCGACGACGACGACGACGACTACGACAACGTCGCGCCGGGCGGCCCGCGGCGTGGCGCGAGGCCCCTCGCGCCCGCCTCGCCGCCGCCCTGGGTTCCTCGTCGTCCTCGCCGTCCTCGCCGTCCTCCTTGCCGTCGTCCTCGTCGCAGTCGTTCTCGTCCTCGTCGTCCTCGTCCTCGTCGTCGTTGTCTTCGACGCCGTCGTCCCCTCGCGGTTGTCGTCGTGTTCCTCGTGCTCCTCGTTCTCCGCGTCCTCGCCTCGCCTACGACATAGATCAGGAGGGGCGAAAACACACAGACACAATGAATCATCGATTCCCCAGAAAATATGGGAAAATATGGGAATTGGGCGGGAAGACGAAAACCCAGAAAATATTTGAAAATATGGGGAATCTTTGTATTTGTGTGTATTTATTGCGAAGGCCTTACGGCCGGTGCCGCCGACCCTGAATGGCGACGACGACGACGACGACGAGCGCTCTTGGGGGCCTTTTGGGGGTAGTTTGTGGGCCTCTTGGGAAGCTCTCAGGGACCGCTTGGAAGCCTCGTGGGGGCCTCTTGGGGCTTCCTGGGGGTCTCTTGGAGGGGGCCTGGGACGTCTTGGAGGCTTCTTGGACGGTCTTGGGGCTATCGCGGGCGTTTTCGGCCGATCTGTGGGCGACTCGGGGCCCTCCTGGGCCGTCTCGGAGGCCATTCTGGGCATTCGGACCTCATTTGGAGTGTTTTCGAGGCGTCGAGGCCGCCCGAGGGACCACGAATCTCCCCCCCCCCCCCCCCCCCCCCCACCACCACCCCGGGACCCCCCCCGGGACCCCCACCCCCACCCCCCCGGGGAAGGGATCGGAGGGAAGGGGCTTCCCTTCGACTCGATTACGACACTGCTAGATTTTGCTCTCGCTCACGAGCTTGAGAAGGAAGCTGCAAGGAAATGGGGCGACGGAGGCGACGACCGACGGAGACGACGACTCGAACAGCCAAGCCCCTCGCACACGCCGACAGGGTCGGCGGATTTGTGTGTCCCAGGGCCCCTTCAATAGATGGCGCCGCGCAGTTTACATCACACAGCGTACACCCGGTAGCTTGCTCCGTACAGCCTGCACCCACACGACACAGCTTACTACACCGCATAGCTTGCACCACAGCTTGCACCACGTAATTCAGGAGGAAAAGAATCACACAGACACAATTCATCTTCGATTCCCCAGAAAATATTGGAAAATCTGGGAAGTGGGGGGGAAGACTGACACCCAGAAAATATGGCAAAATATGGGGAATAGTTTTATGTGTGTGTATTTATTTGTGTGTCCTGGGGCCCCTTCAGTAATTAGCTTGCACATCCACGGTATAACATCTCATTTTGTCCTGGGTCCACGCCGTCGAACGTCAGACGCCATGCAGGAAAGGTGTCCTGCAGGGAAGCGGGTCCTTGACCCCCCCCAGCTTCCCCTTGGACCACTTTTCCTTCCCGGGTCGTTTTCTGATGGGCCTGGGGCCCAAAGGATGGCCCCCCAGCGCAAGAACAGGGCGAGCCTTTTTTTGAGCTGGCGGCGCGACACCGTGTAGGGACGCGGCTGATGGCCCGACGTGAAGCTCAAGCTGGGAGGGAGGGGGAGAGGGTGAGGAGGAGGAGGAGGAGCAGGGCGAGCCCCGTCCGAGAACGCGGCGACGCGCTTCCAGGACCCCTTTTCCCCCAGGGCTCGTGGGCGAAAGACGGCTCCGTGTCCCGGGAAGCGCGGGCCAGGCCCCAGGGACCGCGACCCCCCGCGGACACGGGGCGTGTTGCTTCGCGGATGCCCCGCACGGAACGCACCCGTGCGACCACATCCCTGAGTCCAGACCGCGAGGGCGCGGGTACGGATGTGTTCGCCCCTCGTTGCCCAGCGGACACGGACATATTGGTAGGCCAGCCAATGTTGAATATGTTGTCGATGCCGGTGCCTGTCCAGGAGCAGTGGTTCGCGCTTCGGTGTGCAAGGAATGTACGACGGCTGGTATTGTTCCAGCCCCTTCCTTTGTTCCTTTGCTTCCACATGCGCGTTCGTTATAAGCGCCAGTGCCAGGCACGCTTATACGTGGACGATACGGCGACGTGCCAAATTTGCAATGTCAAGTTTAGCACAAAACTGAGAGCGACCGCCCACTTGAGCGATAAGCGCAGAACGCAATGCTCGTCCCAGCTTTCTTCGATCACGCTACTGTGTCCAGATTTGGTGGCTGAGCTTGATCGTGGGGATGCCGCTGCTCGCAGAGCTGCGTGGAAAGACGGTCACACGCAACCGTGGTCTTCCAAGCGGGCCACGATCAGAGACGGCAAGCGACTTGGTAGAGCAGCTCTGCGTGTACGTGCTCATGACGAGAAGCGGTACGCTGAACTCGAGACGCCTTTGGCAGCCTTGCTCCATGATGTTCGCCGCTCGTGAAGGACTCGTCCCCTTCTCGGCTGCGAGCGAGGGGGGCGTGAGAAGGAGAAGGCCTTCTCAGAAGGCGGCGGGACTTCTCAGAAACCCTCGCGCCTCCTGAGACGTTTTCTATGTCTTCGGGGAAGGCTTAGAAAACTTCTCAGAAGGCCGTGGGACTTCCGAGCCTTCTGAGAAGGCCCGCCCCTTCTCACTTTCCCCCCCTTGGCCGGTCGCCGACTCGTCAAGGAGTGCCGCCGTCGTCGTCGTCGTCGCCGCCGCCGCCGCCACCGTCGCCGCCGCCGCCGCCGCCGTCGTCGCCGCCGCCGCCGTCGTTGTCGCCGCCGCCGCCGCCGCCGCCGCCGTCGTCGTCGTCGTCGCCGCCGCCGCCGCCGTCGTCGTCGTCGTCGCCGTCGTCGTCGCCGTCGCCGCCGCCGCCGCCCGCAGCCTCGAGCTTCCAGGGTGCCCGTCGGGGCTCCTCGCGCGAGGCCCCCCGCGCGGAGGCCGCCGCGCCCCGCCCGCGCGCCGCTCGCGGCAGCGCGCGCCGCGCGCCTCGGCGAGCCGCGCCCCTTCCGGCAGCCCGCCGCGGCCCCTCCGGCAGGCTCCTGCAGGTCGGGAGCGGCGCCCGCGCGGAGGCCGCCGCCGCCGCGGCCCGCCCTCCGCGGTTCATTTGCATGAACCATATCATACAGTATGGGTCTTGAAGAAGGAACCATTTTCGTTGGGGAGGGGCTCGGTGTTCCTTGATTGTTTCAAACTTTGCCTCGGGTTTTCCTTATGTTTCCGATAGGAAATCGAAGGTTAACTTATGGAGAAAAGGGGCCTCGTTCCTTATTTAGGGTTCCTTAGGTCAACGCCCCAACTGTAATCATATGAATGCAACCCGAACCACAACTGTGACCAGGGCCAGTCCTGGTCACTGTTCGGGTTCAGGTAGTTTGTTATTAATGCGATTAACAATGAATATGAATGCAAACCGAGCCCCAACTGTGATCAGGACCAGTACTGGTCACGGTACTGGTTGTGTTTCACTTGCGTTAAACAATAGAATTGCAATATTAATGCAAACCGAACTGCAACCGTGACCAGAACCAGTTGTGGTCACGGTTCTGGTTCGGGTAGAGCGGTATTAATGATATTCTCATAACATTAATGCATCCGAGCCGCAACTGTGACCAGGACCAGTTCTGGTCACGGTTATGGTTGCGGCTCATTTGCGTTAGTAATATTACAATGATATGAATGCAACCCGAACCGCAATCGTGACCAGAATCGGTCCTGGTCACGGCTCTAGTTGAAGTAGATTGACATTAGTAGTATTATACAAATGTTCACGCAGCCCGAGCCACAATTGTGACCAGGACCAGTTGTGGTCATGGTCCCGGTTGTGGTTAATTTGCGTTTACAATATGATAGTATTAATGCAACCCGAACTGCAACTGTGACTAGTCCTGGTCACGTTCCTGGTTGTGGTTCATGTGCAATCATGTTAATGCAACCCGAACCGCAACTGTGACCAGGACCAGTTCTGGTCATGGTTCTGGTTGTGGTTCACTTAATCCAATAATATAATAAGAATATGAATGCAACCCGAACTGCAACTGTGACCAGGACTGGTCCTGGTCACGGTTCTGTTGGTGGTTCACTTGCAGTAGTCATAAGAATGTTAATGCAACCCGAATCGCAATTGAGACCAGGACTGGTCCTGGTCACGGTCCTGGTTGAGGTAGATTGGCATTGATAATATCATAATGAGATAAGTGCAACCCGAACCGCGATTGTGACCAGGACCAGTTTTGGCCATCGTTATGGATGTGGTTCATTTGCGTTAGTAGTATTGTAATTCTATTAACCCGAACCGCAACTGTAACCAGGACTGGACCTGGTTACGGTTTTGGTTGTGGTTCATTCGCAATACTTATTTTCTAATAATATAAATGCAACCCGAACCGCGGCTGTGACCAGGGCCAGTTTTGGTCACGGTTCTGGTGCAGGTAGAGTGGTATTAATAGTATTACAATATTAATGCAACCCGAACCACAATTGTTACCAGAACCAGTTCTGGTCATGGTTCTGGTTGTGGTTCTTTGCGCTAATAACGTTATAGTAATTATTTTGCAACCCGAACCGCAATTGTGACCAGAACCGGTTCTGGTCATGGTTCTGGTTCTGGTTCACTTGCATTAGAAATATTATAATAGTTTTCATGCAACCCGAACCGCAATTGTGACCAGGACCAGTTCTGGTCACAGTTCTGGTTGTGGTTCTCTGCATAAATAATTTCATGAGAATATGAATACAATCCGAACCGCAACTCTCACCATAACCAGTTCTGGTCATGGTTCTGTGGTTCATTTGCGTTAATAATAGTATAATAAAATTAATGCAACCCGAACCGCAACTGTGACCAGAACTGGTCCTGGTCACGGTTTTGGTTTTGGCTCATGTGCGTTAATAATATTAGATTAATGCAACCCGAACCGCAACTGTAAGCGGGACCAGTGCAGGTCACAGTTTTGGTTCGGGTGGGTTTGCATGAATAGTGTTATCATAATAATATTAATGCAACCCGAGCCGCAATTGTGACCACGACCAGTTCTGGTCACGGTTCTGGTTGTGGTCTATTCCAATTAATACTAATGCAACCCGAACCGCGACTGTGACCAGGATTGGTCCGGGTCATGGTTTTGGTTCAGGTAGATTGGCATTAATAGTATTTCAGTAATATTGGCGCAACTAGAGCCACATTTGTGACCAGGGCCAGTTCTGGTCACGGTTCTGGTGTGGTTCATTCGCATGAATAATATCATAAGAATAAGTATGCAACCCGAGCCGCAATTGTGACCAGGACTGGTCCTGGTCACGGTTCTGGTTGCGGTTCATTTGCGTTAGTAATATTATAATCATATTAATGCAACCCGAACTGGTCACGGTTCTGGTTGTGGTCATTCGCGTTGAGAATATCATAATAATGTTAATACAACCCGAACCGCGACTGTGACCATGACCGGTCCTGGTCATGGTTCGGGTTTGGTCGCATTATTCTGCATGGGTTCGAATTGTGCGTCCTAACCAGAACCAAGACTGGGCATGGGCACAGTCACGATTGCGGTGCAGTAGCATTATCATATCCATATGATTGCACCGCAACCATGACTGGGACTGGTTCAGGTACAGTTCGAGTCGCATTAATCTATAATCACTGAATAATGCGCATCGTAACTGGGACTAGTTATGGTCGGAGTCTTGTTCTGGCCTTATTCGTATTATCGAATAAGGCCAACCTCTACCATAACCAACACTTGAAGCTTACTGGGCCCCGCGGACGCGCGGCGCGCATGCCCAGGCCTTTCGCCCTTGGGTGTGCCCTTCGTCTGGGTTTGTTGTCTCCGCGGGTTCGGATGCAACTCCTGGGAGTTGCAATTCAGCATTGGCGCTGCTATCGAGATCTGGCCGATTCTGGGGCAACCCAGGCTAATCTTGGCAAGTCCCGCTGGTCCCGCTCAATCCTCGGTGTGATCCGGGTCAGTGGCCGCCCGCTGCTGCGATTTATGGGATGGCCCTTGACAACTATTACGAAGACCTCCGGGGAGATGCTTCCTAATACAGTCGGGGCGCTGAAGGAGGAACCCTTTTCGTTTGGGAGGGGCTCAGTGCTCCTTGGTTGTTTTGCAGCTCGCCTCAGGCTTTCCTTAGGCCTTCGATCGGAATTCGAGGCTGAACTTATGGAAAAAAGGGGCCTCGTTCCTCATTTAGGGTTCCTTAGGTCAACGCCCCGACTGTATGGTTAAGTCGAGCCGGCACATGTTGTGCCAGGAGGCGAGGCCAGATCTCCGACGGTGTGTTTTCCTTCCGTCGGGGCACGTGTTCCTGATTCTGGCTTCTTCGGGGGCGGCAAAGAGGGGGGGAATGACTAGGGTGGTGTGGATGTCATGGCGTGGGCCATGATATCTCCCCAGATTTCATGGCGCCTCTTCTTATTTCATTACGCCCCTGGCCCCCCCCCTGCGCCGTGCACATGCCGCCGGCCATGACTTGCACCCCCCCCTCTTGAACGCCCCCCTCTTGGCCGCCCCCGACTTCAGGTGGCTGATATCGGTCCGGGGGGGGGCATCACAAATGCCAGGGGAAGGGGTCGGAAGTTATGCGGGGGTGTGGGAGGGGGCGCGGATTGAACAAATCACATCGTTGGACCTCTGGGAATGGGTGGGGGTTTGTGGGGTGGGCGCGGATTGAAAAGATCACACTGTGGGGTCCTGAGGGAAAGGGTCCTCAGTGAAAGGGGTTCTCTGGTTCTTCGTTGTTTTCGGGTTCCTGGGGCCCTCTGTGGGTTCTCGGGCTGCCCCAGCTCGGGATGGGGAGCTGGAAAGATCCCGGGATCCCGGACCCGTTCGCCTGAGGACCCGCGGGCGGTCACAGGACGGGGACGTTTGGGCGTCGTTCCTCCCCTCCCCCCTCTTTTCCCCCCCTCCTCCCCGCATCCCCCTCCTCCCCCTCCTCTGTCGTCCGCCCTCCTTCCTCCTCTCTCCTCTCCCTCCTGCCCCTCCTCCCCCGCCTCGCCCTCCTCGTCCTTCCCCTCCCTCTCCTCCCCCTGGGGGACAGGAGGCCGCCTGCCTTCACTGTCGCGCCTCCCTGGCCCAGCCGCGCGCTTGCGTGGAGGGCGCGCGGGCGCGGGCCGCGCCCAGGAGGTCGCGGGCCTGCGCGACTCGGCGGCGGCGCTGTCCGCGGCGCTGGGCCCGCAGTGGAACGGCGACCGGCTCGAGGCCCCCCGCCCCCCCCCCTGGGGGCGCAGCGGTGCGGTGCAGACGGCAGCTTCGAGGTTTGAGGCTGTGGGCGTTTTTTGGTTCGTCGTCTCGCCGATCGGCGCGGGCCCTCGCACCCCCCCCCGCCTCCCTCCCCCCCCCGCCCGTGGAGCGGGTCCTGGCTGCTTTTTGGCGCCTGTTTCGAGCAGGTGGAGTCTCCCGAGGAGGAGGAGGAGGAGGAGGAGGAGGAGCAGGCGGAGGAGGAGGAGGAGGAGGAGGAGGCGGAGGAGGAGGAGGAGGAGGAGGAGGCAGTCGCACTGAGGCAGAGGTCCGGAGCCAGACCCCTCTCCTCCCCCCCTTCCTCCCAATGTCGAAACGCCGAATGAAAACACGCTCACGTTTTTGGGGCCACACGTCGGTTCTCGGCGGCTTTCCAGCCTCGGGGTGCCTTCAGCGGCTGCGCCTCGCGGGGAGCATTCCGGGGGTGCGCGAATCGTCCCGCGAGCAGCCGCCGGAGGCCCGAGTTATGATACGAAAAACACCACGGGATGGGCTCGGGGGGGGGCAGCGACCCACAATCGCCCATTGATCGCCAATAGGGGCCCTACACGCCCCGCTCATGGATGTGCGGATTCGCTATCGGGATCCTGTCGCACAGCAGCTGCGCCCTGCGAAGAAAAACATGTTTGCGAAGGCCTTACGGCCAGTGCCGCCTACCCTGAAGACGACGAAGATGAAAGGGAACGGGGGGGGTGCAGGGGCAGGGGGATGAGGAGGAGAGGTAGGAGGAGGAGGATGGGGTGCACGGTGTGGTCCAATTGCCTCGAATGGGGTGCTCAACATGGGTCTCGTCATGTAACTCCTAGCACTTGGCGCTGGCGAGGGCTCGACACTTCTCTTCGTGTAGCTGGTTCTGGAGGTTTCTCCGAAGGGCTTAGGCGATCCGTCCTCCTCCTCCTCCTCCTCCTCCTCCTCCTCCTCCTCCTCCTCCTCCTCCTCCCCATCCTCCTCCTCGTCCTCCTCCTCCATCGTCTACTCCTACTCCTCCTCCTCCTCCTCCTCCTCCTCCTCCTCCACCACCTCCTCCTCCTCCTCGTTCTTCTCCTCCTCCTCCTCCTCCTCCTCCTCCTCCTCCTCCTCCTCCCCTCCTCCTCCTCCCCCCCTCCTCCTCCTCCTCCTCCTCCCTCCTCCTCCTCCTCCATCTTCTCCTCCTCCTCCCCCTCCCCCCCCCCTCCTTCTCCTCCTCCTCCTCCTCCTCCGCCTCCGCCTCCGCCTCCGCCGCCTCCTCCCCTCCTCCTCCTCCTCCTCCTCCTCCTCCTCCTCCTCCTCCTCCCCCTCCTCGGGTCGCCTACGGCCCCGGGGAAACCGTGCAGCTGGTGCCGTTCAAACCTGCCCTTGCCTCGCGGGAGGAGAAAGTCCGCAGCCGCGGGCAGTCGCGTCTCGTGCCCGTGTGCGTTTCAGAGGGCTGGCTGCTCGTGGGATCAGTAGCCCCCCCACGCCTGCGCGTTGGGCCGTGGTCTGCCGAGCGACGCGGCCGTATCCCGTTGCGCCGAGCAGTGCTGAAGGGACACGCAGGTAGAGGAACACGCCCGACTTAAGGCACATCGGGGCCTTCGGGTTGGGTTTTGGGGTGGTCTGGTGGGTCGCGACGGCGGCGGGTCCCGCCCGGGCCCGGGGGTCGCGGACGGGTCGCGGCGCAGGCGGGTCGCGGGCGGGTCGCGGCGCGGGTCGGAGGCCGGCGACGGCAACGAGAACAGCATCGAGCAGATCGAAATTGTTCGCTCTTGGCTGCCCGCGTGCCACTCAGTGTGTATTCCCCAGGGCCGCGGCTCCCGTGAGTACCTCCGTGACCACTTGCGCCGACGCCAGCTCGCGCCCCCACCACCTCCCCCAGGCCCGACCACAAGAAACCTTCCACAAGAAGCCCAACCCTGAGACCCCAGGACGTCCATGTTTTTTTGGTGTGGGAATGGCACGCTACCCACTGCAAAACCATCGAGGCCCAAGCAGCCCTACGGCACCCTGGAGGCAAGCAGGGTGCTCTTGGGCATGGGACTCCATGGAACCCTGGCTTCGGAAGCAGGAAACAGCACTGCATGCATATAAACTGTCGGAGGTCCGCGCGGACTTCTTGGATCGGCAATGGGCCCCTCTGCCTTGGGGGGATCCAGCGACGATCCCCAAAAATCCGCGCGGGGCTCCGAAAGTTTGTGTGCATACTTATGTTTGTTCCTCTACGGTCGGGGCCCTGTAGAAGGAACCCTTTTCTTTGGGGAGGGGCTCCGCGTTCCTTGAGTGTTTCGTAGCTCGCCTCAGGTTTTCCTTGTGTTTTCGATCGGAAGTCGAAGTTTAACTCATGGAAAAAAGGGGCCTCGTTCCTTAGTTTGGGCTCCTTAGGTCAAGCCCCCGACTGCATGCCTTCGCTGCGCCCGGCCCTCCGCCCGGCCGCTGCTCGCTCAGGCTGACGCCAAGCAGAAGACCGACGCGCTGCTCCAGGGGATTGCAGGTCACAAGGCACGCCATCCCCCTCCACTTTGTTCCTCCTCCTCCTCCTCCTCCTCCTGCTCCTGCTCCTGCTCCTCCTCCTCCCCCTCCTCCTCCCCCTCCTCCTCCCCCCCGTCCTCCCCCTCATCCCCCGTCCTCCCCCTCGCAACGCCAAGAGAGGTCAACGCCTAGGGGGGTGGCCATCTTTCGGCGGCGAGCCCAGGGGGGAAGCGAGAAGGCGCGGGGAGCAGGTCCTGCTCAGACGGCGGCGGGACTCCTCAGAAGGCCTCGCGCCTTCCGGGAAGTTGTCTGTGCCTTTGGGGGAAGGCTCGGCAAACCTTCTCAGAAGGCCCCAGGCCTTCCGAGCCGTCTGAGAAGGCCCGCCCCTTCTCATTTCCCCCCCCTTGGCTGGCCGCCGACTCGTCGAGGAGCACGACCCCGCGGGAGCCCCGAAGCCTCCCAGAACCTCCCAAGAGCGCCAAGAATCCTCGACACTCGATCCTCGAAACTCGATCCTCGAAACTCGATCCTCGAAACTCGATCCTCGCGAGAAGCTTGCGATCCCCCTCCGTGGCAACCCTCGTCGGCACCGACGTGTCGCCGGAGGGGTCGGCGTGCCAGTGGGGAATTCGGCGCGGAGCCAGCAGGTCCTCTCGGGAAGCGGGTCCTGCACTCCCAGGGCAGGCTTGTTCACCGAGTCGTTTTCGTAGGATCCCCGGCATCCGTGGATGAGGGAGCCCGAAGATGGTGAAACATTTCGGGGCCCCGTTGCCATCAGGACTCCGTTCTTTCATTCGGGGGAGCGTAAGACCCGGGTTTGCCAGGACTCGGGTTCGCCATCGTTTTTTGACGACCGCGACTCGGATTTTGACGAGGAGGAGTTTCGTGGGATGCCTGCAGCGGGAGGCCTCGTCAAAATGCAGGCTCGGCCTTGTCATTTTTTTGACGACCTCGTCGGGGATTTTCGAGTCCCCTGTACCCAGGTCTTAAGTCCCCCTGATTCATGGCTGGGAGGTCCAGAGATCCGAAGATGTGTTGTTTTCAGTGCGCGGCCCCAGAGGTCCCGTCCCCTTCCACGCGGATAGGGTATCGCCCCAGTTCAGTGTTTGATGGTTCTGCGTCCTGACAACGCGCCCCAGGGGCCCAGGGGACGGAGATGCCAGGATTGAAAATATAGTTTCGGAGATCTGGTTTCCTCTGTCCGTTCCGACGCATTGGAGCTGGAACGTCCTGATCACGCTTCGCCGCGATTTTTGGGGCAGTGCGGATTTCGACTTCGCACCAGCTCGGATCTTACAGTCAAGACGTTTGAATGATGGTTATTTCTTGATGGGCTTGTTTGCCACCATCACCACCACCACCATAAGCTGGAGGGGGGAAGGAGGTGGAGGACGAGGAGGAGGAGGACGAAGAGGACGAGGAGGAGGAGGAGGAGAAGATGGAGGAGATGGAGGAGGAGGAGGAGGAGGAGGAGGAGGAGGAGGAGGACGAAGAGGAGGACGAAGAGGAGGACGAAGAGGAAGAGGAGGAGGAGGAGAAGATGGAGGAGAAGATGGAGGAGGCGGAGGAGGAGGAGGAGGAGGACCCCCTCCCCCTCCTACTTGTGGTGGTGGTGGTGGTGGACAGCAGGCCCACCACCTCGGGGGTGGTGGACAGCAGGCCCACCACCTCGGGCTCGGGAGGGGCCCCGGCCCTCGGGCGGCTCGTCGGGCTCGGGCCGGGCAGCCCGCCCGCGGCCGAGGCTCGCCGTGCCCGGAGGGGGCCCCGCTCGCTGCCTGTGCACCGCCCCCTGCAGCAGCGCGACGCCCTCCTCCTCCTCCTCGTCCTGCTCCTGCTCCTGCTCCTCCTCCTCCTCCTCCTCCTCCTCCTCCTCCTCGTCCTCGTCCTCGTCCTCCTCGTCGTCCTGCTCCTCCTGCACCTCCTCCTCCTCCTCCTCCTCTCGTCCTCGTCCTCGTCCTCGTCGTCCTCCTCCTCTCCTCCTCCTCTCCTCCTCCTCCTCCTCCTCCTCCTCCTCTCCTCCTCCTCCTCCTCCTCCTCCTCCTCCTCCTCCTCCTCCTCCTCCTCGTCCTCCTCCTCCTCCTCCCTCCTCCTCGTCGTCCTGCTCCTCCTCCTCCTCCTTCTCCTCTAGCTCGCTCAGGGAGAGCCGACCGGAAGACCTCGAGGCCCATCAGATGCGCCCACCGCCATCCGCACCGTCAGCAGCGCCGCCACCATGCTGCGATGGCAGCTCCCGAACCTGCGCTAACGCTCGCGCAGCGTTGACGCGGCGGCGACCGCAGCGCGGGCGCTCAAGGCCGAACGTCGCCGGTGGCCCAGAATCGGCCGATATCGAGAGGTCTGCTCTGACGCTCGCGCAGCGTTGACGCGGCGGCGACCCCATCGCGGGCGTTCGATGTTGAACGTCGCCGGTGGCCGAGAGTCGGCCTTCTGCCTTCTTCGCCCTGTGCTGCTGCCCAGAGTGAGTTGGTGGGTGGGTCTTTGGGTGGTCTCGAGTCGGTTAGGTTGCCAGGAGCTCCGGCGGCGCCGCAGGAGATCGAGTGAGTTGCAAAGAGTTGCATCGGCGTCTTCCTTTTGGAAGTGTCCAGGGTATGGGTGATGGATTGAGTTGCAGAGAGCCGCGTCGATGTCCCACCTTTGGGTGACCATGGGAGATCGACCGAGCTACAACGAGTCGCGTCGGCGCACCCCCTTTCGGACGACCATGGGAGGCAGATTGAGTTACCGTCGGCGTTCCCCTTCTGGACTGCCGTGGGAGGCCGATGGAGTCGCAACACGCCGCGTCGGCGCCCCCCCCCCCCCCCTTGGGACGGCCATGGGAGGCCGATCGCGCCGCACGGCCATGGGAGGCCGGTGCATTCTCAGAGACACGCGTCGGCGCCCCCCCTGCTGGACGGCAAGGGCTGGCCGAGCGGGCCGAAGAGAAAGCGGCGTCGCCCTTCCCCCCCCCCCCCCTTTGGACGGGCATGGGAGAGACCGAGACCGAGCTGCAGCGAGCCGCGGCGGCGGCCCCCCCTCCGAAGCAGCTCGTCGCAGCTTGTTTCGGTGTGTTCGCGGCGCGAGGGGGCGGCGCTGCGGCGCTGCGCGCGGCAGTCGCGGTCTGGGGGGCGGGCGGGGGACGGAGGAGGGGGGAGGAGGAGGAGGAGGAGGAGGAGGAGGAGGAGGAGGAGGAGGAGGAGGAGGAGGAGGGCAGGGGGTGGTCGGACCGGACCGAGCTTCGATCAAACGCGAGCCCACCAGCCCACATCAAGAATGGACAGGCCTGGCGACCCTCCACTGCTGCTGCTGCTGCCCAGAGGCCCAGCGCCAAGGAGCAAGAGGGCGTCTGGGGGAGGAGACAAGATGGGGAGGCCGAGGGGAGGCGAGGAGACGGGAGGGGGAGGCTCGGAGGGGGAGTTGGGGAGGAGGGGGCGGATGTCAGAGGAGGAGATCTCAACCGAGACCGTTACCCGTCAGGCCGTCGCAAACATGGATCAAGGGGGCGTGGATTAGCGACGGGTCCCGTTTCCATTGGGGAATTGCAGATTTCTGCCGCCGAACCAGGCGGCACCGGCCGCATTTTGGTGAAAATTCCCCCCCGATCCATGGATTTGGCGACCGCGCGCCAAATCCATGGATCGCTAATCCATGTTTGCGCGTTCCCGAGATATCAGGTTAGGACAAGTCAACCGAGACCGTTACCCGTTCCACCGCCACCGTGGCTGGGTTCGCCACGAAATTCGGGTCAGAGCACCCCGGGAGGGGCTTGGTGATGAGCGGTATCGGCAGTTTTCCCTAAACAGCACGTTTTAGTTTTACACATCTCGATAGATTGACGACAGTGTGAGGGGGGACGAAAGGTTATTTCATGTCCCTGGGTCCGTGGCTGAAGTGGGGTACCGCGGCGGAGATCGTTGTTGCGTTGTTGTTTGTTGTTGCGGGTTCGATTGTCTGTCTGCTTGCTTGTTTGCTTGTTTGTTTGTTTTTGGTTGGTTGGTTGTTCGTCGTTGTTGTTGAACATTATTTATTCTAAAGAATAATTATTGTTGGGCCCCCTGGTGCGCGCCCCCCCTGCGCCGCCTAGGCCGCAGCTACATTTTCATCATTTTCGTGAGGAAGCCTCAGAAAAGAGGGTGTGTACAGGATCCGGTTGTTTTGTTGTAATCCGCTTTCCCTTGCAAAAAACAATAGAAAATGACATTTCTTGTTCTAATATAATCAAATTTCAAGAATCCCTTGCAAAAAATAAGGTAAAGTGGACATTCGCGCGCGCAAGACGAAATCCTTCCAAAACCTTAGTGTTCGCAGCGATTTTAACATAAAAACATCAAAAAACCAATGGTTTTTCAACAAAAAATTGTCAAAATCTCATCCCGCGCGCTCTTGCGGATTCGTAGGAAACCCAACACTTTTTAAACATTTCTGTCAAACGGGCTTTTGCGAGCAACTTTTTCGAACTTCTGCGACAACGGTTGCGCACCTGCCAGGGCCATCATCCCTGTCAAATAATACCATGCGGGACACATTCGTTTTTTCTTCGCGCGCGCACGCCGAAATCTCCAAAAACCATTGGGCTTCTTAAGAATTTTAGCACCGCGCATCATAAAATCACACGAATCGCACCGTAGGTCCTCGAAAAACACCTGCACGACTTTTCAAAATTTCTACCCGCGCGCGCTGTCCGAATCCTAAAAAAACCAATGGTTTTCCAACATTTATGTTACATGAGCTCGCGCGAGCTACTTTCGCACGCTCTTGCAACGGGGTTCGCGCGCCTGCCAGGGGCCACAATCCCTTGCGGTTGCGCCATAGGTTGCGCCCTCGGCCGCCGAGAATAAAACGTCCCCCTATTGGTTGCGCCATAGGTTGCGCCCTCGGCCGCCGAGAATAAAACGTCCCCCTACTGGTTGCGCCATAGGTTGCCCCAGGAGGCCTTCAAGAGGCCTTATTCCCACATGTGTGATCATGTGAGTATCATGTGTATCATGTGTATCATGTACCATATGCATCATATGCAACAGATGTTCTGTGGAAGGCTTAACAACTTCTGTGGGTTAACAAGGCTTAACAACTTCTGTGGGTGTACGAACGTAGGCTTAACAACTTCTGTGGGTGTGTACTCCACGCCAGTGTAGTAGCCACGGTCGTCCGCAGGCCACGAAGTGAAGTGTCCGAACGTCATAGGGCGGGAAGCTGGGTGTGGGTGGTGGCGAAGAGTCGTGTGGATATTTGGTAGAGCTTGCACTGCCCCCCCACAAAGTGGGGGTATTGGCTGGCGTCGCATGAAAACCCTGGCACTGGTGAGAACACTGAGCGTTCGGGTAAAGTGATTGTTGTTGTTGTTGTTGTTGTTGGTGGGGGTGGTGGTGGTGGTGTTGTTGTTGTTGTTGTTGGTGTTGTTGAGTTGTTGTTGTTGTTGTTGTTGTTGCTGTTGTTGTTGTTGTTGAACATTATTAATTCTAAAGAATAATTATTGTTGGGACCCCTGGTGCACGGCCCCCCTGCGCCGCCTAGGCCGCAGCTACATTTTCATCATTTTCGTGAGGAAGCCTCAGGTAATTCGATGTGATCAAGATCCGGTTGTTTTGTTCCCCCCCGCTTTCCCTTGCAAAAAACACTATAAAATGACATTTCTTGTTCTAATATAATCAAATTTCAAGAATCCCTTGCAAAAAATAAGGTAAAGTGGACATTCGCGCGCGCAAGACGAAATCCTTCCAAAAGCTTAGTGTTCGGAGCGATTTCAACATAAAAACATCAAAAAACTAATGGTTTTTCAACAAAAAAATGTCAAAATCTCATCCCGCGCGCTCTTGCGGATTCGTAGGAAACCCAACACTTTTTAAACATTTCTGTCAAACGGGCTTTTGCGAGCAACTTTTTCGAACTTCTGCGACAACGGTTGCGCACCTGCCAGGGCCATCATCCCTGTCAAATAATACCATGCGGGACACATTCGTTTTTTCTTCGCGCGCGCACGCCGAAATCTCCAAAAACCATTGGGTTCTTAAGAATTTTACCACCGCGCATCATAAAATCACACGAATCGCACCGTAGGTCCTCGAAAAACAGCTGCACGACTTTTCAAAATTTCCACCCGCGCGCGCTGTCCTAACAACTTCTGTGGGTGTGTACTCCACGCCAGTGTAGTAGCCACGGTCGTCCGCAGGCCACGAAGTGAAGTGTCCGAACGTCATAGGGCGGGAAGCTGGGTGTGGGTGGTGGCGAAGAGTCGTGTGGATATTTGGTAGAGCTTGCACTGCCCCCCCACAAAGTGGGGGTATTGGCTGGCGTCGCATGAAAACCCTGGCACTGGTGAGAACACTGAGCGTTCGGGTAAAGTGATTGTTGTTGTTGTTGTTGTTGTTGTTGTTGTTGTTGTTGCTGTTGCTGTTGCTGTTACTGTTACTGTTGCTGTTGCTGTTGTTGCTGTTGCTGCTGCTGCTGCTGCTGCTGTTGCTGCTGCTGTTGCTGTTGCTGTTGCTGTTGCTGTTGCTGTTGCTGTTGCTGTTGCTGTTGTTGTCGTCGTCGTCCCACTCGCGGACTGGCATGCGACCCACCCCGTGCCCGCTCCCTGACTCTTACCCGCAACTGCGGGGTGCGCCCGGCGAGGGACGTTGTGCTATCCTCCGGGGGGCGCCAATGACACATCTGCACCGACCCTGGCTGGGCCGAGCCTGAGCCCAGGATCGGTGTATACGCATTCAGCCCAAGGCAGGAGGGCGTAGACTCCGATCCTGCAACCAGGGGGATCCTGGCCAGGATGGGTGTTAGTGTATACAGTTGGGGCCCTGCAGAAGGAACCCTTTTGGTTGGGGAGGGGCTCCGCGTTCCTTGATTGCTTCACAGTTTGCCTCAGGTTTGCCTTATGTTTTCGACAGGAAATCGAAGGTTAACTCATGGAAAAAAGGGGCGTCGTTCCTTATTTTGGGTTCCTTAGGTCAAGCCCCCGACTGTATACTTGGTGCCGTCCTGTTCCTGTGCCCCCCGAACCTTGGGTGGCCCAGCGTGACCCCCCACCGTGGCCGTGCAGGAGCTGTCCGGGGCCTCGTGCCGCAAGAGGGTGCCGCCCTGCTGACCCCAGTGAAGTGGCCCCAGGACGCACAAATAAATACACACAAATAAAAGGATTCCCCATATTTTCCTATATTTTCGGTGTTTCTGTCTTCCCCCCCTACTTCCCATATTCTCGCATATTTTTTGGGAAATGGACGATTACTTGTGTCTGTGTGTCTTTTCCCCTCCTGACCCAGGACGGGCACACGGATGGGGGGCTCACATAACTCGTACGGATTCGACAGCACTCTTGGCCAGCGCGGTCGTCTGCCTTTTGCCCATCTGCAAGCTCTCGAGCGCCGCAAAGTCCGGATGGATGGTGGCAGACATATCAGGATCCTCGGCCAGTGTGCTCCGATCCGATTCGACTCGACTTCGATGGATTCCGATGTGGGTTCCGATGCCTTTGGGCGCCCGCGCTGCCGCGCTGGCGAATAGCCGGTCTTGTGGCCACGTTTCGACCGCAGGAGTGCTGACGAGCCAGTTGTTCAGAGGCATACCAGCCTGCCGATTTCCGCCGATTCGACTTTGCCGGGCTCGGCTGCCGATTTCCGCCGATCCGATGCATTTCGATCGCCGATCCGATTTCGACTTCTCGATTCGATTCTGGGCTCTCCTGGATGGGTGCAGATGCGGGATGGGAGGCGTTCGGCGCCCTGAACAACATGCTGAACATGCTGCGGTGACGCGGGCCTGGCCCGAATGCACCCCAGCGCCTCATTCCAAGGCGGGCGTCGGTCCGTGAGGGAGAAGGAGAAACGCCACACACATTGTGTGTGGGTATGTGTTGTTTTATGTTTCCCGCAGAGTGTGTGTTTTTTTTCCACTGTGTGTGTATGTTTGTGCGCTTGTTGTTTTTACAGTGTGTGTGTGTGTGTGTTTGCGCGTGTTTTTTCCACAGACTCGAGCGTGCTCTTCCGCAGTGTGTGTGTGTGTGTGTGTGTGCGTGTGCGTGTGCGTGTGTGTGTGTGTGTGTGTTCTCCACAGTGTGTGTCTTCCCACAGAGAGCGAGAGAGAGAGAGAGACAGGATAGAACACACGCAGACGTGCCCACGCCGCGGCCGACAACGGCGGCGCCCCTTGGCTCTCTCCTCCGGCCTCTCCTCTCCTCTTGAGGGCCTCCCCTCTCCTCTTGAGGGCCTCCTCTTGAGGGCCGCCTCCTCTCTCCCCGTTCTCGACTACGCTCTCTGATCCGTGCCTGATCTTGGGGAGCCCCCCCTAACGTTGACTACTCCAGAATTCGAAATAAAAGGGAGGGGGTCACAACCCTCTCAGACGAAAAGTTTTAGACCCCCCCCCAGACCATCCATGAAAGGGCGACCATTTGTCCAGACCCCCCCCGAACCCTCAAGACAGCTCAAATCAGACCCCCCCCCAAATGTGACCCCCACCACTTTATTGTGGAATCCGGAGTACCCACCCAACGTAGCCCGGACCTCGGTGACACCGAGCCCGGCCCGCGCGGAGTGGGCGTGATACCCGCGTTCTGGCGGCGCGATGGTCTCGGAGTGATGCTCCTGCTTGCGCGTGGGCCACATCTCGGATTAAGAATCTCGTCGCCGCCTAGACTACGTTAGGAGGGGGGGTAGTGGCCACATTAGTTGGTGATGACACCTCCGTGCCGCCTGCCAGCTGCTAGAATATTCCACTCGGAGACTTTCACAGCAAGCTGAGTCTGAGGAGTCTGGGGCGAAGGCTTGCCCGCCTGTTTTCGAACGCTGCGCGTGATGAGCCCGTGGCCCTGCGCAGTCAGAATGTGATCGCCCCGTTCGCCCCGCAACGGATCGAACATATTTGCGGGTACCTCTGAGGCCAGCAAAGCAGCAAGCGAACCCCTGACAGCAGGGATGATCACCGCAACCGCTGGGGCTCAAGCTGCCCGCCCTCGTTCGGCCCCGCCCTGCGGCACCCCTTCCCTTGCTGTGAGCCCAGTGAGCAAACGCGTGCCCGTCTGCTTTCGAATGCTGTCGGTGATGGGCCCGTGCCCCTTCGCTGTCAGAACGGTCTCGCGCCGTGCAGCCCAGCACGGGGTCGAATGCGTCGGCGAGCCTCTCTGGGCGAGCTGAGAGCGGAAGCGAATCCCCACTCGGCGCTTCTCCTGGAAGCGCGGTGACGGTACCCCACATTTGCGCTGCAGCGGACGACGGAGGAGCAGATGTGGGAATACAATACGATGCGATTTGCCAGGTTTCCTCCACGCTCGCGAGCGAAACGAGTCCTGCTTCTTCCCTTCCGCCTCGCGCTGCTCCCCCTCTTCACTCCTTTATTGGAGAGGCCTGACGGCCGATGCCGCCGACCCTGATCGAAAGGGCTAGGAGTGGGGGGAGGAAGCGGAGGATGATGATGATGATGATGATGATGAGGAGGAGGAGGAGGAGGAGGAGGAGGTCGCGCTTCTCCCCCTCTTCACTCCTTTCTTTGCTCCTCTTGGGCTTCTCTTGTTTCGCTTCCTCCACTCCCTCCCTCTCTCCGCCAGAGGTGGCCGGCTCTGTGCAGCCGACTCGATCTGGCGCCCTGCGCTCCTCGTGAGGGCCCCTGCTCTTCCTTCACCGGCTAACCTCAGGAGAGAAAGAAGCACACAGACACAATGAATCGTCGATTCCCCAGAAGATAAAAAATGGGAAAGTGGGAAACTATGGGAAGCGGGGGGGAAGACAAAAACCTAAAAAATATGGGAAAACATGGGGCATCTTTTTATTTGTGCCCTCCATTTCCAGTGGGGGAGGGGTCGGGGAACATCGAGAAAGCACATATGGAACCCGTACCCCCCCCCCAACCCGAAATTCGGGTCCTCGGGTTGGGTTGGGGTGGCTTGGTAGGTAGTCAAACATAGGTCATGGTAACGAATGAACGCGCGTTATTAAACATTATTGGGCAAACGGTCATTTACTATAGCGAGAAGCGGGATTCTTAAATTGCGCAGCCTATGCAGAACAAGACAGCATATCATTTGGTAAACACAAGCGCCGGCTTGCTAAATTCAAGCACGGATTTTCTGAATATGGGGCCGTTGTTCTAAATCCCAGATCCAATCATTACCATATTCCGGATTAGATTACCTCAGATCCCAGATCATTAGATTCTCAGAACCAAATCCTCAGAACCAAATCCTCTGAGAAGATCCCATCATTTTCATGACCTGAGTAGCTCGATCAGATTCCTCTCTGCTTCTACCCCGTTCGGGCCGATTCCACGGCACCGCTTCAGGGCCCCTTTCGATTCCTCAGATCCGATTCGATTCGATTCCGATGGAGTTCGACTCCGATCCGATTCGGCCTCAGACTCCGATCTGGGTACCGATTTCTAAGCGAGGCTTTGCCACTTCGCCGATTTCAGCACATTCGATTCCTCCCAGCTCGGCTGCCGATTTCCGCCGATTCGACTCGTTTCGATCGCCGATCCGACTTTTCGATTCGATTCTGGGCTCTCCTTCCACTTTGAGAGCAGCCTTTTGTGCCCCAGGCTCCAGGTCCACGCGGTGTGCGCCTCCCCTTCGGACTGCTTGCACCCCCTCTCTTGCCACGCTGTCGCTCCTTTGGAGGCCCGCCCCACGACATCCGATGCCGTACTCGTTCCGCTATGGGGTCGGCCTTGTCCCCAGGACTGGCTCTTCATCCCGCGCCCAGGGCTCGTTTCGATTCGTTCGATTCGATTCGAGTTCGATGGCCTTCGATCCCGATTCGATTAGATTGTGATTCCGATTTGGATTCCGATTCCTCAATGCTGCCGATTTCTGCCGATTCGATTTTTCCCGACTCGGCTGCCTATTTCCAGATTTCCGCCGATCCGACCCGTTTCGATCGCCGAACCGATTTGTCGATTCGATTATGGGCTCTCCTGTTCCGCGCCGATTCCTAAGGCTCCCTGACGCCGACGCGAAAAACGTTCGTCTTGACTTGAGAAGAAGGCGTCTGGCGGGCCCCCCAGGGCCCGGATAAAGGGGGTCTCTAGAGGGCGGTGGGCCCTTTGATACCCAGGGGGCCTGAGCAGGTTTCATCCCGAGCACCCAGGTCCCCTGATACCCAGGGCCCCTTGATACCCCTTGGTACCCAGGGCCCCTTAGCCTTAGATACCCAGGGGCAGAGGGGCCCCTTGATGCCCAGGGCCCCCTGATACCCAGCGGGTCTCTATAGGGAGGATCACTTTTTCATCCTGAGCAGGGTTCACCCCAGCCCTCCTGGCCTGTGGCGTGTTTTTACTTCTGGAGCGGAGCACTGCCGGTTTCCGTGTTCCAGCCTCCTGCTTCGCATCTCTTGCCCTTTTCCTGCTTCGCCGCCCGTGGTGTTGCTAACTGCGCAGCTTGCGGGGAGCCTGTCTAGACCTTGCCGCCCTGGGAGATTTGCAGACGCGCAACTGTCGTTGTTTCACTGCGCTCCAGGAGGGCCCACCGGAGTTTCGCTACAGAGGGGGTCGCCTATCAGCTCCGCCCGGAGACACCGGCGATATGGATAGCTTATGGCTGCACCTGTACGTCACATTCATGATGTCCAGTGGCACGACCTCGGGGAAACCTTTTCGCTCGGGTGCCGCTAGCAAAACTTGCGTCGCGCCTGAGAATTTTCAGTGCTGTCGCGGAGTCTTGCGGGGCAGTTGCCAACACACTGGCCAGAGTTCTTGTTTAGGTCTCAGCGATCTTCTCGACATGTTTTTCATCTTCCTCCATTTTCTCTTTTCCCCCTGATTTCCTAATCTCCTTCTGTCGGGCGTCGTCGTTGTCTCCCCCCTTCCATGTCCGATCCTTCGCCGCACAGTCGCATGAAGCATTAAGCAGAGGTACAGAGCCAGACCCCCCCCCTCCCACCACCTTCCGCCCAATACTGAAACGCCGAATAAGAAAACGCTCACCTTGGGATCGAGACATGTAGACTGTCAGAGATCTGGGGGTGTTGATTAACAGGGGCGGGCCGTCTCAGAAGGTTCAAAAGTCCACCGACCTCCCGAGAGACTATCTGAGCCTTATCCGAAATCACGGGGGGCTTCTCAGGAGGCGAGGGCTTCTGAGGAACCCCGCCGCCTTCTGAGACGGCATGCCCCCTTCTCACTTCCCCCCTGGCACTCGCCGCCGAGAGGGGGGGAGGGGGGCAGGAGAGACGGAGGGAAGAGAGACGGAGGGATCACAAGCCTGAAGAGGAGGGGGAAGACGATACTCGTCGGTCGTTAAGAATCGTTATTTTTGGATGCCCGCATCCTAATCTATTCCAAGCGCCTTCCTACCTCAATCATCGATACGTGTTGGCTGCTGCTTGTTATTCTTTGGGCGGGCCCGAACCCAGTCTTCTTTCTGCGCCTCCCTACTTCCTGCTTCTACCTACAGTCGGGGGCCCTGAAGAAGGAACCCTTTTGGTTGGGGAGGGGCTCCGCGTTGCTCAAGTGTTCCACAGCCTGCCCCAGGTTTTCCTTATGTCTTCGATCGGACATCGAAGTTTGACCTATGGGAAAGAGGGGCCGCGTTCCTTCTTTGGGGCTCACTAGGTCAACGCCCCGAGTGTACTTCTTCCGACCGGCGCGTTTTTTGCAATCCTTCGGTTTTTTGCAATCCTTCGTTTTTTGCAATCCTTGGTTTTTTGCAATCCTTCGGTTTTTTGCAATCCTTCGACTCCGAGGAGCAGACGCTCCCCGCGCCTGCCGCCCCGCCTCGCCTCTCGCCGCCCGGGGCGCGCCGCGGGCCGCGGGCCGCGCACGGCCGCCCCCCGCGCGCTCGGCGCCGCGGGCCCATGCTCCCGCACCTCGTCGCGGCGAAGGGCCCCGGCCGCACCGCGGAGGCGCGCCGGAGAGCTGCAGGGGGCCCCGCCTCCCCTGGGCGGGCGTCGTCGCGCGCCGCCGCCGCCAGGGCCCTTGTCCTCGTGGCCCTCCTCCTCCTGCTCCTCTTCCTCCTCCTGCTCCTCCCCCTCCTCCTCCTGGTCCTGCTCCTCCTGCTCCTCCTCCTCCTCCTCCTCCTCTTCCTCCTCCTCCTCGCCTCCGTAGCAGGAGCTGCTGTGGCCCGCAGCATCAGATGCGCTCCTAGCACACCTGCCACACGGAACACCGTATGGGTGGAGGTATGCGTCATTCGGGATCGCGGGCCTAGGCAGGCCTGCTAGCGTTCCCTTTTCGCCTGTATCACGGTTTTCGGATCATCGCTCATAATGTCGATTGGGTGGGCTACACTCGACTCGAGGAGGTTTCAGCGCTGACCCCGACGTGAGACGCATTGCTGTAAAATGGTACAGGAAGAACAGCGATGAAGGACGAGGGCGCGACTCAAACAACACTGCCGAGTCACACATGCGTGCAGTGCGGATGGACAGCATCCCAGTTTGCGAACAGATCCTGCGTGATGGCAGCGTGCTAATGGAAGGGTGTGAAGAACGCAGTGCAGCACATCGTCTTCCCGCCGATTCCACAGGGCATCGCTGGCATACAGTCATCGGCCTGACCTAAGGAACGATAAATCAGGAACGACGCCCCTTTTTCATCCCAAGGAAAACGCATAAGGAACGATACATACATAATAAATAACGCATAGGGAACGATGAATAACGCATACAAGCCTAAGGAACGACCAAGCCCCTTTTGAAAAGCAAGTGTTCCTTATTCAAGCCGCTCACTGTAACATCTGCGGCTGAATTCAGAGCAGGCGCTCGCTCGCTCGCAGCATTGCCAGCGCATTCCCCCCGGAACGGAACGACGCCAAGCATGCTACAGTAGGCGGCGGGGAGGCGTCTCGGTTGGCTGGCCTAGAGCCGGCAGGCGGCGCATGATCACCATAGGCGGCGGGTTCATTTGTTCGTCTTGAACAGGGGGAGGAGGGGGAGGAGGAGGAGGAGGAGGAGGAGGAGGAGGAGGAGGAGAAGGAGGACCAAGAGGCACGACTGGCACCAAGTACATCAGGGCCTACGACACCGGGGCATCTTGTGCCTTGGGACAGCTATCTCTCAAAATCCAGGGAGAGCATCGAGGAGAATCACATGCCCATGCGCAGCAGCTTTTGGAACACCGGCCAGACGTTCTTCAGCGGTAGCGGCAGCAGCAATATACAAGCAACCCGCATAGTAAGGATGTACAGCCGTCCTGAGGGTACTCTCGCATCCTTGCCTCCTCGATCCATCCTTGGCCACATTCGTTGGTCGCGCCCCGCCTGAGAAGCTTCAAATGGGCGTCCAAGGCCCTTGCATCTTTATCGTGCGTCCTTACTATGCGGGTTGGCTGTAGATCACGCCGCGGTACCATTTGCGGCAATTAGTCGGATATCATCACTGCGTGCATTGAAAAGCTTAGAGACCCACAGAGGCGACCCACCGCCGAAGTTCAGGACCTCGCGCCGAGCATATGTAGATATCTTTGACACTTGCAGCGGCGCGCCGTGGATCACAACTTCCGGCAGTGAACCGCAATGGTTTCATGGGATCACATGCGCATGGGAGGATGAGGATGAACGACCTGGAAAAGTCGAGGAGGAGGCCGAGCGGATGCCAAAGAACGCATCGCGAAACGCATGGAACAGAGGCGGCACCCTGAAGGCCCGGAACTTCTGCGCAGCTGTATCCACGCCGGTTTGCACGAGGCATTCCCGCCAGGAGGCCACCTTCAAAACAATGGGAGCACAAGAGAGAGGAGAGGATCAGGCACATCAAGGAGAGGGCCGCGTCGAGGGAGAATTTTGGCAAGCTCTGCATCAAATCACTCAGTCAACAATAACTGATTGAGATTGACCGAATATGCAGCAAGCTTGCGCAGCATACCAGTGCTTGTCTAGCAGCGATGCGACGACACGTGCTTGAACGGAAAACAGACGCGGCCCTAAGGTTGCGGGATGCATAAGAGAGACGAGATGTTGCAGAGGCGCACCGTCTCAAGACATCTGTGGTTGGGACAGGGGGAGGACCGAGCAAGAGTGTCATATACATCATTCGCTCAAATCTACCAGTCGAGGAATGGTTGGGTGAAAGACTTTGGACAACCTGCAGAAGAGGGAGGAGTTGGAGCTCGCGGGGTAAGACGGGAGGACGAGACCTCAGATGTCAAGTCGTTGCCAAACATGTGAGCACTGGAATTTCAGTTGGCAGGGCCAGCTTAATTTCCTGAGGCGCGTGCCGAAAAGGCGCGGATGCCCAGCGTGGGAGTTGCCGCGGAAGCGCTGCTCGTGACTGCCGACGGGGGGACGCGCTGTTAATGGCTACGGCGCAAAAGTTGTTCATGCCGCGCGTACTTCCCAGGCGAGGCAGCTGCGTATGAACGCTCACTCGAATGGTTGATCACTTTCCTACGCGTGCCGTTCGTCCACACACACACATCTGCGCGGCCAACGAATAGCGGGGCGGGCGTCGCGATGGCGCCACGGCTGCCCCGTTGTTTCGACGCGTCTGACACCCGCAGACCAGTCGCCAAGAATCTCTATAGTCTCGCCCGCGAGGTTTTCAGAGGGATGAGCCAAGAAGGGCGCCTCCTCAAACGGAGCGCTGCAGCTCCGCGGCGCAGGGGCGCGACGACGTCGCGCCATCGCGAATTGTGACGGCGCGAACGCGTTCGCACGCGTTGATCGCGGGCATTCCACGAGCTACACGATCGCACAGCACAGCCCCAGCACCAGCGATTACTACGAGATGCCATCGGGAACGCCACCATGCACTCGGATGCGATCGACGGCGAAATGGACCAGGAAGCAGGAGCGAGGGATTTCGATTGGGCACGCCACGGAAGCAGCAGGCTTTCATATGCATACTATCCAGGAGTCCGAAAATGGCGCGAAGTTTGGGCAGCAGGTGATTACTGTTCGCGCAATGAAGCAGGCATCGTCGAGCGCGCGCGTTGATGGGCGACAGATCGCGCGCCACCCCCTGCGCACCCCCTGTGGTGTCGAGGAAATGCCACGCCTGCCACGCCCTGCGAGCCTGCAACGCATAGCGCCCCCACGCCCAGCGCACCCCCAGTGGCGTCGAGGGAATGCCACGCCTGCCACGCCCTGCGAGCCTGCAACGCATAGCGCCCCCCATCCCCAACGCACCCCCTGTGGCGTCGAGGAAATGCCACGCCTGCCACGCCCTGCGAGCCTGCAACGCATAGCGCCCCCCATCCCCAACGCACCCCCTGTGGCGTCGAGGACATGCCACGCTTGCCACGCCCTGCGAGCCTGCAACGCATAGCGCCCCCCATCCCCAACGCACCCCCTGTGGCGTCGAGGACATGCCACGCTTGCCACGCCCTGCGAGCCTACAACGCATAGCGCCCCCACCCCCAGCGCACCCCTTGTGGCGTCGAGGAAATGCCACTTTTGCCATCGCGCCCCCGCCCCGCCCATCGGTGTCGAGAACATGCCACGCTTGCCACGTTCTCAGACCCTGGCACGCATAGAGGCCGCACTGTGTGTGTGGGTGTGGGTGTGGGTGTGGGTGTGGGTGTGGGTGTGTGTGTGTGTGTGTGCGTGTGTGTGTGCGTGCGTGCGTGCGTGCGTGCGTGCGTGCGTGCGTGCGTGCGTGCGTGTGTGTGTGTGTGTGTCCATCAGTCCGTCCGTTGCCCGCCCAAAGCTCGCACCGTCTCATGCCAGGCTGCGCGCCGCGGCAGGCAATGCCGGCCGCAGTGGGTGAGGGGGAGTCACGTGGGCGGGGCACGGTCCACTGTGCAGCCACCCGGCGCCAAACTACACAGCCCGCGCGCTGCTCTTGTCGCACCCATCCGCCTGGACCGGCCCTTTTCACGGCACGTGGCACGCCGACACTCACACGACTTGCGAGCAACGCACGCCACATCGGTGATTGCCGCTGTCGGTTTTATCGGAGGAACGCAAGACCCGAGTGAGCCGGAACTCGGGTTTGCCGACGTTTTTTTGACGAGCGCGTCCTGGATTTTGACGGTCCAGTTTTCGTGGGATGTCTGCAGCGGAAGCTCGCGTCAAATTTCGGATTGGGCCTCGTCATTTTTATGATGGCCCCGTCAGGCCAACCCGAGTCCCCCGTACCCGAGTCTTACGTCTCCACGATTTTAATGGGTGGACGAGCCCGTTCCGGGTGGCATGATGGGGCGGCACCTGCACCGCACGACGCCGCACGGTGCTCACGGCAGCCTGTGGGAATGCGGGTGCGTGAGAGAGCGCGTTTGAGCCGCGCGCGCGTGCGTGTGTAAGAGGGGAGGCGGGGGAGAGGGACCACGAAGAGGTTCAGCCCGCCAGCCGCGGCCATGCCGTCACACCCGAAAGGGACGAAGGGGGAGGGAAGGGAGGAATCGGGGGAGGGAGGAGAGGAGGGGGGCAGGCCAGCAGGAGGGAGCGGGGCGAGGAGGCAGATGGCCAGGCAGGAGGCGGAGGAAACGGGAGGGGGAGGGGAGGGAGACGACGACGAGGACGACTACTCGGGGGCCGGGGCCAGCGCTCCAGGCACGGAGCCGGCGGCTACGAATGCCACGCCGCTGCGCATCACGGCGCAGCACAGTCCAGCACGGCCGCGCGTGTGCGTGTGCGCGTGTGGCAGTGCAGCACAGCAAAACACATCACATCACGACACAGCACAACACCGCACAACACCGCACAACACATCGCATCACAGCACATCACAGTACATCACAGCACGCCGTTTGGAGTGTGTTTGTGTGTGTGTGTCTTTGTGTGTGTGTGAGTGTGTGTGTGTGTGCGTGTCACGCTCTCAGACCCTGGCACGCCTGCCGCGCTCTCAGACCCTGGCACGCATAGAGGCCGCACTGAGTGTGTGTATACATTTGTGTGTGTGTGTGTGTTCGGTGTGTGTGTGTGTGTGCGTGCGTTCGTGCGTGTGTGTGTGTGTGTGTGTGTATGTTCGGTCGGTCGTGCGTGCGTGCGTGTGTGTATGTGTGTGTATGTTCGGTCGGTCGGTCGGTCGGTCGGTCGGTCGGTCGGTCGGTCGGTCGGTCGGTCGGTCGGTCGGTCGGTGTGTGTGTGTGTGCGTGCGTGCGTGCGTGCGTGCGTGCGTGCGAGCGAGCGAGCGTGTGTGTGTGTGTGTGTGTGTGTGTGTGTGTGAGTGTGTACATGCGTGCGGCTGTACGCAGACGCGTGTTTCATGTACGTGGGTGAAGAGAGGAATGGGTTGGGGTAGGCGCGGGAGGAAAGACAACGAGAACCCCACGAAACATGTGGGGAATGATTTTGACTTCTTTGGTGGCCTATTGGATCCCTTTTGGGGCGTAATGTGGGCATCTTGGGCTGTCGTGAGGCCATCTTGAGCGTCTTGGGGCGATTTTTTCGCGACTCGGTGCGCTCTTGGACTGTCTGAGGAGCCTGTTGGGACTCTGTTTGGGGCCGTCTTGGGGCCGTTTGGCTTCCAGAGAAGCCACGCGACAACGCGCGGGAAGCACCAGGAGCACCCAGGAGCGCCCGGAACTCCGGGCTATGGCCGCCGGAGAGTTATATTGTATTCCACGGAGGGGATCATGAGGGATCTGAGGGCACTCCGGTTCGTGCCTCGAGGCACGGTGGCGGATGTTTGTGCAGCTTGTTCTTCTCATCATCTTCCCCCCGCCCCCTCTGCCCGCTGCCGCCGCTCCTCCTCCTCCCCGCCCTGCCCCGTGTCGGTGTGGCCCCCACGTGCAGGGCGGATGGGCGGACCCCCACTGGAGGGGCACCCATGTCCGAGTATTTGATCCTCGCGCGTGCTGTACTGAAGGGGCCCTGGAACACACAAATAAATGCACAAATAACGAGATTCCCCGTAGTTTCCCATACTCTCTGGGTTTTTCTCTTCCCCCCCACTTCCCATATGTTTCCATATTTCCCTGGGAGGCGATGATGAATTGTGTCTGTGTGTTTCTTTCCCTCCGGATGTACGTGTGTACGTGATCTCCTGCGGTCGGTGTTGGCACGCTGTGGCTCCGAGGGCGCTCGTCCTGCCGTGGCCTCGCCCTCCTCCGTGCCGCGCCCCGCCGCCTCCGCGGCTCCCGCAGGGGACGGGAGGGGCCCCCGCCGCTTGTCGCTCCGCGCTTGGGCCACGGGAGCGGACGCCGGCAGGGCGCCATGGTGATCATCTCGGAGGCTGCAAATGGGGGGCGGACGGCCCGGGTGGACTGAAGCTTGGACCCAGGCGCGCGCGGATCGGCCAGGGGTCGCGCTCCCTCGCGACGCCGATGCGCTCCGGCGCCCGGCGTGGCGGCACCATCCTGCGCTTCTAGGGGGGGGTACTTTTTTACCAGTACAAAGCATATCCCTATCCCTATCCCTATGTCTGACATCACCTGACCTCGATGCCGATCTTAAGGGTTCCCTCAGTTTCTGAGGGCCTATCCCTAAGATTGTCCTCGCTTTGTGCTCGCCCATCTTAGGGATAGGGATAAGTTCGAGGCTGGTTAACTTTCGCTGATCTGGGCATCTGGCGCCCGCGCGCCAGATATGCACGGACCCGACCACCGGGGCCCCGCCGTGGCGCGTCGTCGTCGTCGCCGTCGTCGTCGTCGGCGTCGTCGTCGGCGGCGGCGTCGTCGTCGTGGGCCCGGGCCAGCGGGCTGTTCCTCGAGCAGCCATGGAGGGGTCGACGGCCGGGGCCCCACGGGGCACGGCGCACAGTGCCGCCCCCGCCCCCCCGCAGATCGTCCCCCGCAGTGCTGCGCCGGGGTGGCCAGGGGCCCTCTCGGGCCGAGCGAGAGGGGGGGGCGGCAAAGAGGGGGGTGATGACGAGGGGGGGGGGATATCATGGCGGGGGCCATGATATTTCCCCAGATCTCATGGCGCCTCTTCTCATTTCATTTCGTCCCTGGCCCCCCCGCTGGGCCGCGCACATGCCGCCGTCATGATTTGCACCACCCCCTCTTGGACACCCCCCTCTTGGCCGCCCCCGCCCCCCCGTAGATCGTCCCCCGCAGTGCTGCGTTTATGTCGGGCGTGTCCCCCTACGGGGGGATTTGCGACGACAAATAAAAAATACCCCAACAAAATCCCCCAAAAGGTCAAACATGCAAAAAAAAAAAAAAAAAATTGTCCCCAGACTATTTTTGGATTATTCTTTGAATACTTTCTGGAGTATTTTGAATCTTTCGTCGAAAATCCCCCTGTAGGGGGACAGGCCCGACTTCATGCTGCGTCGGGGTGGCCAGGGACCCTACCGGGCCGAGCGACAGGGGGGGAATGGGGGAAGGGGGGGGGACGAAATCTGCTGCATCCAGCTGGTTTCAGCCCGCCGAGGGGCCCATTCCTCGACACACGGGCGCCGGGGGAGCCGGAAAAATCAGCTGCGAGAAGCCTTGCGCCCGCTGCCCTGGCCTCGTGTTGTGTCGGGCGTGTCCCCCATACAGGGGGATTTTCGACGAAAACTAAAAGGCCGCCCTCCGAGCAGGCCTGCGCCCGCTGCCCTATCGGGCCGAGCGAAAGGGGGGGATAGGGGAAGGGGGGGTGACGAAATCTGCTGCATGCAGCTGGTTTCGGCCCCGCCGAGGGGCCCATTCCTCGATACATGGGCGCCTCCGGCGCCAGGAGGCGCCGGGAAGATCAGCTACGTGAGCTGATTCCCAAACCTCCCCTGTGCTATCCCCCCCTTTCGCCCGGTTGGCCTGAAGTCGGGCCTGTCCCTCTACAGGAGGAGTATTCAAAAATAGTCAAACAATAGTCTGGGGACGATTTTTCTACAATTCTTGATTATTATTGGAATATTTTTTGAGTATGTTGAGTTTTCCGTCCAAAGTCCGCCTGTAGGGGGGACAGGCCCGACCTACCCCTAGATCTCCCCCGTGGTGCTGCGTCGGGGTGGCCAGGGGGGCTGCCGATCCCGGCGGGCGGAGGGCAGGCGAAGATGCCCTGGCGAGCGTCGGCTCAGCTCGGCGGCGAGCGATGGGGGGGAGAAATGAGGAGGAGAAGGCCTCCTCGGAAGGCGGCGGGGCTTCTCAGAAGCCCTCGATTCTCCTGAGGGGTTTTCGGTGTCTTCGGGGAGGAGGAGGCGGGAGGAGGAGGAGGAGGAGGAGGAGGAGGAGGAGGAGGAGGAGGAGGAGGAGGAGGAGGGGGGAGCCTTCTGCGAAGGCCTGCTCTTCCTCACTTCCCCCCCCCTCGCTCGCCGCCAGCTGGCGCATCCGGGCGCCGTCGTGGTTCAGCTGCCTGGTGCTGCCCACCCCTCGGGTTGCGGCCCCCGGCCGTCAGCTTCGCGGCGATCCGGAAGGAGCTCCTGCTGGCCTGTCGCCAGCTGGGCTGCGCGGTGTCCGAGACCCTCGCGTCGCTCGTGGCCGCGACCATCTTCAACGCGGCCAGCGGCAGCTTCTACGTGGACAGCCCCATCGAGGATCGGGACGACACAGAAGTGGGTGCGGAAAGAGCGGGTGCGATGCCCAGCAGCGGTCCTTGCTGATTTTGAGCTGGACTCGCTGTCCGCGCCGCCGCGGACGTTGTGCTTTGAAGACAGAAATCCGCCTGCCCAACCGCGGGCGCAGTCGGTTTTGGGCAGCATTTTGTTGTTGGGCATTCTGCTCGTTTTTCCCGTACCGTCGGGGCCCTGAAGAAGGAACCCTTTTGGTTGGGGAGGGGCTCCGCGTTCCTTAAGTATTTCACAGCTTGCCTCAGGTTTTCCTTCTGTTCTCGACGGGAAATCGACGGTTAACTCATGGAAAAAAGGGGCCTCGTTCCTTATTTAGGGTTCCTTAGGTCAAGACCCTCACTGTACCTATTTCGGGCGTCCACAGAGGAGGCCGATGCGCGCACGGTGGTCGAGGATCGGCGGCGCCCCGAGGGGGGCAGAGGCAGAGAGGGGGCAGAGGGGACTTCTCGAGGATCGGCGGCGCACCGAGGGGGGTCAACGGCGGAGGGGGAGTACAGTTCAGAGCCCCAAAATCATCAGGGGTAATTCGGGTCAGGGCTAACTCGGGCTCGCTTTTCGGGAACCCAAACCCGAGTTACCCCGGACCCGAGTTACCCCGGATAACTCGGGCGCCCAAACAGTAGGGGTGCCGAAGAAGGAACTCTTTTTTGCTGGGGAGGGGCTCCGTGCTCCTTCGTTGTTTTACAACTTGCCTTCGGCTGTCCTCGGGTTTTCGATGGGGAAGTCGAAGTTCTACCTATGGAAAAAAGGGGCCTCGTTCCTTATTTTGGGTTCCTTAGGTCAACGCCCCGACTGTACAGTAGGGATGCTGAAGAGGGAGCTCTTTTTGTTGGGGAGGGGCTCCGTGCTCCTTCGTTGTTTTCCAGTTTGCCTCAGGCTGTCCTGAGGTGTTCGATGGGACCTCGAAGCTCTACCTACGGAAAAAAGGCGCCTCGCCTCTCACTAAGTCAAAACTCGATCTTCGAATCCTCGGTGAATCCGCGATTTTGGGATTGTGGATGTGTTTTTTCGTGGTCAGTCTCTTCTTCGGGGCTCCTCTTGTCAGCGCCCCGACTGCATGGGGGACGGCGGGGCTCCTCGGAGAAGCCCGGGCGGCCTTCGGACAGAGGCCTTTGCCCGAGGCCACGGGAGGCCCGCTCGGCAGGCCACCCTCCGAGAAGGCCTGCGCCCGCTGCCCTGGCCTTGTGGAGGACGATCGGTGGAGAGGAAGCATGTTGCCAAATAATTTCCAGATTTCCAACTTCCAATTGCCGAATAATGTCCAGAGTACAGTAGGGATGCTGAAGAAGCAACTCTTTTTGTTGGGGAGGGGCTCCGTGCTCCTTCGTTGTTTTACAGCTTGCCTTCGGCCGTCCTTGGGTTTTCGATGGGGAAATCCGAGTTCTACATACGGAACAAGGGGGCCTCGTCTCTTATTCGGGATTCCTTTTGTCAACGCCCCGACTGCAGGGGGGCGGCGGGGCTCCTACAGGGGGATTTTCGACGAAACATTATCCCAGTGCGACCCTACCTAGGAATTGGAGCCCCTGGGAAAGCAGCATTAGTAGTAACAGTAAAGCTAAGCTAAAGCTAAGCTAAAGCTAAGCTAAAGCTAAGCTAAGGCTAAGCTAACACTAAGCTAACGCTAAGCTAAATCTAAACTGAAGCTAAGCTAAAGCTAAGCTAAAGCTACAGCTAACGATAAGCTAAAGCTAAGCTAAAGCTTAGCTAAAGCTAAGCTGAAGCTACGCGAAATCTAAGCTAAAGCTAAGCTAAGGCTAAGCTAAGGCTAAGCTAAAGCTAAGCTAGCGCTAAGCTGAAGCTAAGCTAAAGTTAAGCTAACACTAAGCTGACTCTAAGATAAAGCTAAGCTAAAGCTAAGCTAAAGCTAAGCTAACGCTAAGCTAAATCTAAGCTGACACTAAGCTGACACTAAGCTAAAGCTAAGCTAACACTAAGCTGAAGCTAAGCTAAAGCTAAGCTAAAGCTAAGCTAAGTATAGGCTAAAGCTAAGCTAACACTAAGCTGAAGCTAAGCTAAAGCTAAGCTAAAGCTAAGCTAATGCTAAGCTAACACTAAGCTGAAGCTAAGCTAAAGCTAAGCTGAAGCTAAGCTAACGCTAAGCTAAAGCTAAGCTAACACTAAGCTGAAGCTAAGCTAAAGCTAAGCTTTAGCTAAGCTAACACTAAGCTAACGCTAAGCTAAAGCTAAAGCTAAAGCTAACGCTAAGCTAAAGCTAAAGCTAAGGCTAAAGCTCCCAGGGGACTGGGGGAACCGCGGGGCGGGGACTGGGGGAACCGCCCGGGGCGCTTTCCACTGCCTGGCCCCTTTAAGCTAGAGAGTAAGAACCCTTCTAGGCAGAGCCTAGGTAGGGAATAAGAAATGCCCCAAAAACATATTCCCAAAAGGTCCAACAATAATCAAACAACAGTCCCCAGGCTATGTTTGGATCATTTCTGGACTGTTTTAATTTTTCGTCGAATATCCCCCCTGTAGGGGGACAGGCCCGACTTAAGCCTTGTGGAGGACGATCGATGGAGAGGAGGCATGTTGCCAAATCATTCCCAGATGTCTAAAACGTGTGTTAAACATGTTTTCGGCATGTAAAACACATGTTTAAGACATGTTCATATTATTTTCCCGACATGTTAGCCACATCTTGAATTCAAGGATAGGGCTGTTAGGGTGTCCATTGTCATGGCATCCACAACCCCAGCCCCATCCGAGCGCGCCACCGGGAGGAGGCCGCCAAGAAGGTCCTGTCCAAGGACAGGCCGGGGATCTCCTGCCTGCGCTTGCAGGCCGCTTACGAGAGCTCATTCGCGGAGATCGAGCAGAAGGCGCAGAGGGAGAGAGCCGATGCCACCGCGACGGAGCAGAAGGCGCTCAAGTGGATCGCGGGCTTCTCGGCCAAGTTTACGGAGGACTTCGAGACGCTGACGGGCCTCTACAAGAAGATCTACCAGCTGCTGCTACTGAGGCTCCGGGCCTCCCAAGCGGGTTCCGAGCAGCCGGGGTCGGAGAACCGGTGCCGCATCGCCAACGCATCCACGATGCGGATTGCGGATCGATGTGGAGCCCGATATTATCCACTCCAACGGCGTCGATACATCGCCGACGCCTCGCCGATGCATCGGCGATGCATCGGCAATTTTCGGCGATGCGGTTCGACCCTGCGACCCCATCTGCTCGGACCCGACTTGCGAGGCCCCTGCGAGGTGCACCAGGCCGTGGGGCGTGGCCAGGCACGAGAAGGACGAGGCGGTGGAGCGCGAGGTGGCGGCAGCGCTGGAGTCGGTCTTCCCGCGCGTGGGCCTGCGCGCCTTCGTGGCCCTGACGGGGCCGGAGATCAGAGGAGGAGGAGGAGGAGGAGGAGGAGGAGGAGGAGGAGGAGGAGAGAGGAGGAGGGGGAGGAGGGAGGAGGGAGGGGAGGAGGAGGGAGGAGGGGAGGAGGGAGGAGGAGGGGGGAGGAGGGGGAGGAGGAGGGAGGAGGGAGGAGGAGGAGGAGGAGGAGGGAGGAGGAGGAGGAGGAGGAGGAGGAGGAGGAGGAGGAGAAGGATCGATCGATCGATCGAGCTATCTGGCCTGTCGGGGGTTACTGGACTACGACTAGAACAGTGTGCCTTCAAAACTGTAGTGCGGCCTAGCTGTGGTCACTTCGTGGAAAGGGGAACGCGGGCGCCACGGGGCACTAGGGCCCTACCTGCACCGACTTTCCCACGCAGGGGTCCGCGGGCAGGGTAGCACCCGCGTTTACGGCTGCCTTCTCGCGTTCTTCTCTCTACCCCTTCCTTTCCCCCCACGGCCCTTACCTTTCCGCTTGGGTTCAGAGGGTGGGGGAGCTCGGTGCACCACATGGTACTCAGGGAAGCGTTGCCCTTGGAGTTGGAAGAGGGCAGGGGCCTCGTTGGGCGGAGGAGGAGGGAGCCTACCTTCCCTGAGTAACTGGCGAAAACGTTTGCTGCTTCGAAAAACTCGCGGGGCACAGAAGTGGGAGCGGCGTCGGCTCAGCGCAGCTGCACAGAGTGCTCGCGATCCTGGCCGTCGGCCTCACGCTCACCGTGGCCAGTCCTTGGCCCTTGCACTCTGTCATCGTGTCCTCTCGGTTGGTCGCCATCTGATGCTGCACAGAAACGGTCCGTGCCCCGGCGCCCACTCTCTGCAGCTGCACCACCTGGCGTTGCACAGAACTGATCGGCGTCCCGGCGGCCACTCACCGAAGCCGAACAAGACGGATCGGTGTCCCTGACGCTGCCTGGCTCTGCTAGCAACGCACGGGCCCCCACGGCCCAGACGCGAGGGAGGCGTCGCGGAGCCAGACGCGTGCGCTGGCGACTCGCGGGCCCCTGCGGCCAGACGTAAGGGGGCGTCGCGCACGCTGCGTCTCCCCGGGGACAGCGGCTGCTCCCGGGGTGTTCCGGGAGAGCCTCCCCGCAACGTTCTGGCGGAGGATGTCCGCGCAGGCTCAGTTGCTGAGCCTGCCGGGCTCCCTCTCGATGGCCCCGCGCGGAGCCGCTCCCGCCTTCCTCTTCTTCGCACCCTCTCTCTCGAGCTGCCTGACGACCACCGTCTCCGGCTGGCGACACGCGTGGTGCACCTGGAGTTGGAGCGTAGAGCTTCCCTCAGAGCGTTCGCGGCGAAGCTAGAAGAGTAATACCTCGTGAAGCTCTTCGGCATCGATGAGCTAGAGGAATTCTGCACCTCTCCTGGGCCCCGTTGCCGCCCTCCCTCCCTCCCTCTGTTGCGCCTGACGCGGAACACCGGCACGGCCGTCGCCACGAGGTCCGCACTGCCACTGAAGCCGCCGTGCGCGCAGGGCTTCTCGAGAGGCTCTCGCGCTCGGCTCCCGCCCCTGCCGTGCGACCCAGGCAGACGAGCACCTCCGCCCAGGCCTTCACTCGCGGGCTGCCCAGCGATGCGGTGCCCACGCTCTCCCCGAGGTGGGTCACCACCCACCAAACCACCCCAACCCAACCCGAAGGCTCAGATTTACCCTCGATTTCTAGTGGGGTGGGGTCCGGGAACATAGAAAAAACACGGTTGGGTCTTCGGGTTGGGTTGGGGTCTTCGGGTTGGGGTCTTCGGGTTGGGTTGGGGTGGTCTGGTAGGCAGTCAGTGGGCCCTCAGGCGCAAGCCCTGAGCCGCGTCGCTGTGCTCCTTGCCTGCGTTCCGTGCGATCTCGGCGACCTCGCTGCCGGCGTCGCTCTCCCGCGTCTGGATGACTGCGCGCGCGAGTTCGGCTTGTTCTCGTGCCACTTGGCATCGCTCGGACGTGTGCATTTTTTTCGGCGAGAACCATCGAGGACCATCCTGGGCCATCGAGCAAAAAAAACGCACGAAACCGATCAATTGCACGGGAAACGGAGGTCCGAGCGACGGCAAGGCCAGCGTGAGGTCCAGCCTGGCGGCGAGATCCACCACCTGCGCGTCGGCCTGCCCGCCTCCAGCTCTGGCGGCGCCTCCTCCCGCCGGCGATATCTGGTCGCGGGGGGCCTCCTGTTTGGACGCCCGAAATGGGCACGGAAAGAATGGGTAAGATGCCCAACAACAAATGTTGTCCCAAACCGACAGCGGCCGCTGTTGGGCAGGCGGCCTTCTGTCTCGAACGGACACAGGCCGCAGCGGCGTGGACAGCGAATCCTGTTCAAGATGAACAAGAACTGCTGTTGGGCATGGTACCCATTCTTTCCGTGCCCATTTCGGGCGTCCAAATCCTGGAGCTGGTGCCGTGGGCGCCCACGGCGGGCGCCGGTCGAGGAGTGCCAATCTCTCGCGGGTGGTCTGAGTATCGGCCTCGGGGGGTGCGTCCGCGAGTGCTGGAGGTATGTCTCCTGGTCCAAAGCCAGATGGCTGCAGAGAGGGCAGATCGTTCCAAGAGAGGGTTTTTTGCAACCCTTCGTTTTTTTGCAATCCTTCGGTTTTTTGCAATCCTTCGGTTTTGTTTGCAATCCTTCGTTCAAGTGAGGGCGGGGGGGCACGACTTGTTGCCCCTCCCGGCGGCAGAAGCAGCAGTCATCCAATACAGGGGTGTTGTTGAGAGATCGCCGCATGCATGCATGAGTCGTCGCTTCGCATCGGTTCTCAGGTTCGATCAGGGTCGCAGCTGCCACTCAGCGTGCTCCTGGCCAGGTGCTTCTACTCGCAAGCGTCTGAAACCAAGTGATGCAGTGGTTAGTCGTAGTAAGAAGGGCAGCCAGGATATGGGTGCGCTGTGATCTGATGATATCACTGGGCAGCGCTTTCTTGCTGGCGAACAGGAGACCGCATTCTTCTCCGTTTTCATGAAGTTCGCATTTCCAGGGTTGGAGGTCTCGTTAGGGCCATTTCTTCTCGCTCGTCATCGTTTTGGGCCTGTTTAGGAGGAGGAACTGAAACGGTGAGTTTCGCAGCTCGTACTTCTTTAGCGTCTAGTAGGTGTAGTTGTTCCTTGGTCTCGAGCGTGAACATTTTCCGATCGTGACGTTGCCCCCGAAGGTGTTTCTGAAGGCCTCCGAGATCTGGCACGCCTTCTGGACGTCTTCCACACGTCTTCGGGCCCAGGGGTTCGTGTCCGCCGTCAAGGGGCTCTCGTCGTTCGTGGTCGCGTCGTCTTTCTTGAATCCGAGGCGTCCGAACATGGCGACGATGAGCTGACGGTGGTTGTTCGAGAATATCAGGATATGTTTTGTCCAGCCAAGTCTGCGGACCAGTGCTTCCTCTGCTGGCGGCAGTATCTGCCAATAACGAAAGACCTCCAGCGTCCACATGTTTCGGATGATGCCGTCAGGCTTGTATGTCGTGACTCTCCCCATCATCGCTCGGCGTAAGAGTGCTCCCATGGCGCTCTGCAGCGCGCCGTACTCGTTGGGTGTCGGTAGGAAGCACTCGATGCACGAGAAGCCCGTGTTGATGAGTCTGCAAATGAGCACGACACGCTTCCATCTGTAGGGGACGTTCTCTCCGTCCAGAAGCCGCCGCACTCGTGGTAGCTCTTCTTCATGGCTCGAGCTCTCTTCGGCAACTACTGATTGTAGCTCTGCGTCGCCGTGACGTGTGGGCCCAGGTGCCTCGCCGCGTCCTTCACCGTGCCTGGCAGCTGGTGCTGCCGGTCCTTCTTGATGGTCTGGTGTGCTCGCACCGTCCCTGCTCCTTGGAAGTGCAGTCTCGTCTCCTACTTGCTCTGGTTCTGGCGTAGTCCGATCTCGCTCAGCCTGGCGTTCGGCGTGGTGTCTACTGCGCGTGCTTGTCGCACGAGCATGGCCGCGTCCGCCTCCTTGCTTCCCCACGATGAGCTTCCTCAAGTCGTCAGCGCACTTCGTGACTCCCACGTAGACTGGATGCTGGAAGAGCTCGCTGGTGCCGTACAGTTTCCTGTCGTTGTCGAGCTCGTTGTTGCAGTCGCCAATCCAGCGCTTAATGCACGGGCTGAAGCTGGCCACGAAATTCTTTGCCATGTAGGGGTCTCCGATGAGTCCTCCGCAGTGTGGCTTGATGCAGACACCGTTCTCGTCGTCCCTGCACAGGATGCTGAAGGTCGCCCTGCGGTATCGCTGCTCGCCGATGTCCCAGAGATCTTCGGGCATACTTTGGCTGTTGGCTGCGTCAATCGTCATCCAGTTGCAGCTGTAGTGGAGGCGTAGTTGTATCCCGCTCGCCTCGCCCTGTATTGTCACCGCCACTGCCAGGATGGCCCCTTCGCGTCGTCGTCCTCGAATGAAGCCGTAGTCCTGGTCGGGATGGACTGTGTCGGTGCAGTCCCGTTGCGTGGTATGCCTGGCCGATCGGGTCCAGGAGGTGGCAGGTGCGCTTTCCTGCAGGGCCTTCCTTCATGTTTTTACGTACTGCTGTCGCCGAACTCTGCTGCCACCTCACTGGAGTTGTGTTGCTGAGGCGTATCGCCGCCAGCGCCGCTTTGAGGATGGTGTCGAAGTTGTGTGGCTCCTCCCGCTGTCGTGGCATCCCCAGTCCTAGTCGTGCTGCTTTTGGCGCTGCGTCTCCTGGTGGATCAAATCGCATTCTCCGTAGCTCCGTCGGTGCTGTCGTCGGTGGTGCCGCTCTCCTCAGTCTCGCCTTCTTGAGCCTCTTCGCGATGTCGTCGTGGCCCTGCTCTACTTTCTCGGCCAGGTCCTCCTCGCAGTAGTCCTGCTCCTCTGCGCTGTGCTGTATGTCTTCTACCGTGTTGATGTCCTGCTCGGTACGTCCATGCCTCCTTCACCTCCTGGCCGTTTCCAGACGTCGAGCCATTCTTCCCTTCTCGGTTGTGCCGTCGTTGCCAGCCGGTAGCCCCTCTTCCGCGGTCCGTAGCGGGCACCTGCGATAAGTCGTGAACGTCGTCCCACTCGCGCCAGGTCCCGCTGCTCCCACGCCTCGTACAGCTCCTCGACCCTGTTACCAGTGCGCTGCTTGTACTCCGTCTTTCGTATCTGCTTGCACGGTGTGGTGATCTCTCTTAGTCTGGATTCGATTCCACGCAATTGGAGCTCCAGTGGTGAGATCTGCTGACCCTGATCTTCGGCGTACGGGTTGGTGGTTACCCTCTGTCCCTCGTCCTGAGTCGCGGTCCCTGGAGCCGTCTGATCCGTTTCGAGGCCGTCCGCAAGGTGGGGGTGTGGCGACGAGTCGGAGTAGATGGGGCGATGAGCTTCTCTAGTGCCTTCGTCGCTGTTCTGTTGGTGGATGTCCGTCTAGTTCGTGAAGTCGTTCTCTGCCATCTTTGCGTTCTCGTGGTAGCTGCATCCGTTGTTGGCGCAGTTCCGCGTATGGTGTGGTAGCCGGTGGGGTCTCGCCGCAGTGTTTCTGCGCCGACTGGATAATCATTTGGTTCAGCTCTTGGAACAAGAGGTCGACGCCTTTGCCCTCTGGGTTGCAGTTGTCCACGAGCGAGTGCCTCCAAGTCTCTGATGAACTCGTTGCGATAAAGTCCTCGTCGTGTTCCTTGTTCCAGTCGTTCCGTGTCCCATCGGGGTGGTGCTTCTTGTCGTCGCCGTCGTAGCACTGGTAGTCGTATGGTGGTCTGTACTGCAACGTGATCTCATTTTTTTCGGTATGGCATGTGCTGGAATCGCGCGCCCAGTCTCATTTCGTTCGGCATGGCATGTGCTGGAGTCGCGCGCCCAGTCGTAGGAGAGGTCCCTGCGAAATCATTGTCGACACCAGCTCCTGTGGAATCATGGTGTGGTCGATGCAGCTCGCCGTGTGCTCGCCGAGGTAGGCAGGGCGCCAGGTGTTCGTTGTGTTCGTGGTGACCAGGCTGTGCTTCTCGGCGAGGGTGCGGGCTCGCGGCCCTGCTCCTGGTGGTCGTTCTATGGAGCGCCCTGGTCCGACCACTGGTGATTCTGGTTTTTTCTAAAAAACAAAGAAAAAAGAAACAAAAAAAACTGGTGATTATGGTCGTTGCTCTCATTGTGTTATGCCGATCCCATCATTCAAGGCCCCTGCTGTAATCACGATGCTGTGGCGCGCGCGCGGTTGGTGACCGTTTCGTCCAGCCATTGAAGTAGCCTCCCCACCGTCGCGTGGTACGTTTTGCGCGCCGGCTTGCCTCTTGTCAGTGGAGGTGGGAAGCAGCAGCCTATCGCCAGGATGAGCTGCTGGTGCAGTCGGATCGTCAAGGCCAGTCCCCGTCTTCTAAGCGGCGGTGGCGGCTCGGTGATGTCGACGATCTCGGCGCCGCGCAGCCTGCCCTGCAGCGCTGTGAGGATCCCCGCGCTCTTGTGGGCGAGCTCGGCTGGCTGCCATCCTGCATCAGAATGTCTCGGGTCGCCCTCCTTGTGCTGCGTGATCGCGTCTTCTCGTCTGCGTCTCCCCGTTGCCCGGCAAGACGAGAGCATCGAAGTTGGGAGCCTCCTGAGATACCTGGCATCGCTCGGACGCGTGCACTTTTTCTCGGCGAGAGCCAACCGAGGCCCATCCTGGACCATCGAGCACACAAAAAACACGCACGGAACCGAGACATGCACGGGAAATGCACGCCCCGAGCGACGGCGAGTAGAGATCTCCGCCGGCCGATCGGCCTTTGCCGAGAGGGGACTGAAGAGACGAGCCGCGAGAGAAGCGGTCAGTGTTGCCAGGAGGCGGGCCGTCGTCGCCATCGTTGCCGCTGGCGTGGCCGTCGTTGCCGTCGTCGTCGCCGCCGTCGTCGTCGTCGTCGTCGTCGTCGTCGTCGTCGTCGTCCTCGCCGCCGCCGCCGTCGTCGTCGTCGCCGCCGTCGTCGTCGTTGTCGAGGTGGTGGTGGTGGTGGTGGTGGTGGTGGTGGTGGTGGTGATGGTGGTGTCTGCACGATCTGAGTAATGGCACGATCGCTTCCTGGGCTGCCCTGACAATCTCTTAAGCCCAAATGGGGGCCATGAGGCGGGCCGTCGTCGCCATCGTTGCCGCTGGCGTGGCCATCGTTGCCGTCGTCGTCGTTGCCGTCGTCGTCGTCGTCCTCGCCGCCGCCGCCGCCGCCGCTGTCGTCGCCGCCGCCGTCGTCGTCGTCGTCGAGGTGGTGGTGGTGGTGGTGGTGGTGGTGATGGTGGTGTCTGCACGATCTGAGCAATGGCACGATCGCTTCCTGGACTGCCCTGACAGTCTCTGAAGCCCCAACATGGCAGCTGAGGAGGAGGAGGAGGAGGAGGAGGAGGAGGAGGAGGTACCCATACCGCTACCTCTCCGTCGTTTTTGCCTTTTCTGGGCCTCCCAGGGGGGCCCTCGCCGCCGCGGCTGGGTTCGCCTCGAGGCCCTGGCCCAAACGCACCCCGGAAGAGGTCCGGGGAGTGGCGGCATGGGTTTGGCTTCCCCAGGAGAAGACGGCCCAGCTGCAGGAGCTGGCCGGGATCGTGCTGGGCATCCGCCTCTTCAACCAGCACCAGGCGGGGCCCATCTCGATCTGTCCGGCTCGGTGTCGACCTCGGCCGGCGTGCTGCGGTCCTGTTCCGATGTTTCGATGGTGTGGTGTCAAGGGGGGAAAACCACCCAGACCGGACAATTGGCGTTTACCAAACAGCCCTGGGCGTTTACTAAACAGCCCTGCCCTATTTGATTCTTTCTTTGGGTGCGTTTACTAAACGGCTTCGCGTGTCGGGGTGGTTGTTATCGGGGTGGCTGTTTTGCCTTCTATGGTGCGGCGCCCGAGGTTCGCGGGGCGTCGTGGTGCATCGTGGCGCGGCCGAGTCGAATGCCTCCTCGGTGTGCCGATGCGCGGGGCCGATTCGTCGTGCGCTCCGATCCAGAGCCAGGTTCGAACTTCTCCCTACCCCTGACATCGGCAAGCCAAAAACGATGATCATCTCAGGGATGTGCCCTCAGAAACTGAGGGGATCCTTACGATCGGCACCGAGGTGAGGTGATGCCAGACATAGGGACAGGGATAGGTTTCAAACTGGTGAATCCAGTTTGCCAGTCCAGTGCTGACCGCTCCTGCCAGGGCAAGGGCGGTGCAAATCTCCCGGCACTGGGCGACACTGTCTCGAAGCTGGGCTCGGAGGACTTGCTGCAGCGCGTGCAGCAGGAGGTGGAGGACGTCACGGAGCTGTGCAGGGCGCACGCGGACGTGGCCATGGCCTCTGGTGGTCCCGCGAGCGGCAAGGCGGCGAAGCCGCTGGCGGAGAAGCAGCTGGATCAGCTGGTGATCGTGGGGCGCCATTTGTTAGAGGAGGAGAACGATACCGATACCGCTACTTGTAAGCTGTCCTGGAGGGTCCTTGTAACCACCGCTAGATTGTCATTGCAATTCTCATCAGCACGCATCCCAACAGAGGTCCGGGGAGGTCCGGGGAGTAGCAGTGTTGGTATTTCATGGTTCACCCAAACTACGCACCTACACCGATTTTGACCAGGCCGATCTTGGGCGGTGTATCGGTGTGTATGACGTGCCTTCTTCGTAGAGACCCCAGAGACATGTGATTCTATAAGTATCTGCATGATTTGCATCACGGTGCCTTCGTGGGTGAGCAGGCTGCCACACCGCTGCGCTACTGAGCGACCGCCCATCCGCCCTCGGGCGTCACTGGGCGGTTGCTCTACGTCCCCCCTCCCTCGGGCGTCGCGGGACGAGTGATCTGTCTGAGCGACCGCCCATCCGCCCTCCGGTGTCATTGGGTGGTTGCTCTACGTCCCCCCGCCCTCGGGTGCCACGGGGCGATCGCTCTGCAGTCACAGCCCATTGTAAGGGTGCAAGCGGGTCCTGTCTCAGTGTTTTGCAAAATTCTGTTTTTTTTATATTCGGGCGACGCAGGAGGTTGGAAGTGGCATTGAACACGAAAGAGTGCGCGGCCAAAGAACGCCCGTGCGATTGTGCTCGGCCAAAGAAGGCCCGTGCGACTGTGCTCGTCCAGAGACTGCCGCGGGACACGATGCTGCTGATGCGACAGGATCTAGGGTTATCGGGCTTATCGCCGATTCAAAAAATACGGTCTCTAGTACGCTCGTGCCATCAACCGACAGGCGCGCATCAAATGCACCAGCGTAGTGTGGCACCGCCGTAGAGTGTTCAACTGTTTGACGGACAAAGTATCCGTCGCTATTTGGCACAAGGCTCAAGGCTGCTGTCCGCGAGAGGGACTGTACCAGATGAGCAGGGAAAAAAACGATCCCATCACTACACCAATACGATCATGGAGGACCATGTGTGTGATTTAGCTCTCGCCCAGCCTGCGCGGCCGAGAAGCAGCTGTACGAGCCTTCCTGCCCAAGCTCGGAGGGAGCATGCGCCGATTTTGGTCCAGGATTGGCATTGGCTGGCCATGATCGGTGTGGGTGCATACCCAGATACGCGATGTCTTGGTTCAATGGCCTCCTGGGCGTCCCGACCGTTTCCCCGGGGCAAGTTTTGCACCCCCGGTCGTTTTTAGACGTTCCTTGCGAGGGCCCTCGGAGGCCGAACATTTGAAGAAACGTCACGGCTTGACTTTTCTCGACGCGAGGGGGTCTTGGTGTGCAGTTGGCGCCATCCGAGGTGAGCAACCTGCTCTACCACAGGCAGTACCTGTGCTACCTCCTGAACCTGCAGGAGGACCTGGCGGCCAGCATCGAGCGCCTCCAGGCCGACCAGGGCGCGCTGCAGGAGGAGCTGCTGGACCTCGACGCCCTGGTCGGGGGCCGCGTGTCGGTACCGAAGGAGCAGGTGGCGCCCAGATGCAAACTCGGACGAGGAACGGATGCTCGGGCCGGGCGAAAGGGGGGGCTTGGGAAAGGGGGGGGGACGAAATTTGCTGCGTGCAGCTGGCTTCGGCCTCACCGAGGGGCCCAGTCCTCGGTACATAGCCGCCTCCGGCGCCAGGAGGCGCCGGGAAAGTCAGCCGCGTGAGCTCATTCTCAAACCCCCCCTCTGCTATCCCCCCCCTTTCGCCCGACCCGAGATGCTCTGACATCGCTGCCCTTCCCCCTTGTCGCCGTTCTGAGTCTCATGGGACTTCGTGGGCCCCGGAAACGGCAGGGCCGTTTTTTCACCGTTTCCGAAAAAAGTGTCCCTTGAAAATGAAAACGGCAAAAAGACGGCGACTGGAAACCGCCGCAAAAACGGTTCCAGGATTGGATCCGGAGCGGGAACCCGAACGGCGACGGAACCGGCAAGAAAACGGCGTCGGCACCAGCAGAAAAACGGCAAAACGGAATCAGTAAAAAGACGGCCTTGTCGTTTCCAGGGCCCACTAAGTGCTATCCCCCCTTTCGCCCGACCCGAGATTTTCTGACATCGTTGTTCTTCCCCCTTGTCGCCGTTCTGGGTCTCCTCCTCCTCCTCCTCCTCCTCCTCCTCCTCCTCCCCTCTCCTCCCTCCTCCTCCTCCTCCTCCTCCTCCCTCTCCTCTCCCTCTCCTCTCCCTCCTCCTCCTCCTCCTCCTCCTCCTCCTCCTCCTCCTCCTCCTCCTCTCCTCCCTCCTCCTCCTCCTCCTCCTCCTCCTCCTCCTCCTCCTCCTCCTCCTCTCTCCTCCTCCTCCTCCTCCTCCTCCTCCTCCTCCTCCTCCTCCTCCTCCTCCTCCTCTCCTCCTCCTCCTCTCCTCCTCTCCTCTCCTCCTCCTCCTCCTCCTCCCCTCCTCCTCCTCCCTCCTCCTCCTCCTCCTCCTCCTCCCCCTCCTCCTCCTCCTCCTCCTCCTCCTCCTCCTCCTCCTCCTCCTCCTCCTCCTCCTCCTCCTCCTCGCCGCCGCGGCGGGGTAGCCCCGACGCCCTGGCCAGAGCGCGCCCGGGGAGGCGGTCCGGGGAGCCGCGGCAGCGGCATACGCCTGCGGGTGCGCGCGCGGCGCCGCGGTGCCCTGCAGTGCTGTCGGGCCCCCCGGCGCATCCGGACGGGCCCGGGGCCGTCAAGCGGCGGCTCGGGATGGGCCACTGGGGTTAAGTCGGGCGTGTCCCCCTACAGTGGGATTTTCGACGAAAAATTAAAATTTATCCCAAGAGTATGCCAAAAAGGTAACGAAATTCTCAAAAAAAATAGTCCCCAGACTATTTTTGGATTATTGCTTGATTATTTTTTGAGTATTTTTTATTTTTCGTCGAGAATCCCCCTGTACGGTAGGTCTGTGTCGTGCCGACCGTCGGCGACCCCGCCGCCAGCGTTCAACGTTGAACGCCGCTGGCGGCCCAGAATCAGTCGATGTTGAACGATCGGACGTTTCGGAAACGGCCGATCGTTCAAGGTTGAACGATCCCCGCGGTGTCAGGGACCAACGCCGGGGTCGACACGACACGAACCTACCGTAGGGGGACAGACCCGACATGGCACTGGGGCCTCGGCGGGGGCCCCCGCGGCCCCCTTGGCCGCGCGCGCCTGCGCCTGGCGCGGGAGGAGCGCGATGCGAGGATGGGGGAGGATCGAGCTTCGAGGAGCGGGGAGGACCGAGGATCGGGGGACAAAAAGATACGGATACGTGTTGTCCCCCTTCGTTTTCGGCCTTTCCTGGTCCTCCTGGGGAATCCTCGTTGTCACCGCTGGATTCGCCTCGAAATTCTGGTCAGAACGCACCCCAAGAGATGTCCGGGGACAACACGTATCCGTATCTTTCCGCTCCCCAAGAGGAGGAGCGAGATCCGAGGATCGGGGAGGATCGAGATTCGAGGAGCGGGGAGGACCGAGGAGGACCGAGGAGGACCGGCCCCGCGTCTGCAGAGCTGCCGAAAAGCCATTCCTGGAGCTGCCCTGCGGCTCCGGCTTCCAGTCTCAGCATTCTCTCTTGTTCTGAGGAGCTGTGCGGGAGCTCGAAGAGGCTATCAGGGAAAGGCGCTGATAGCAGGGCGTCCGATGGGCATCGACAGGTCTGGCGAAATTCGGGGCAGATGTTCGGTTTTTCTCTCTGGATCTCGACATCTGCAGCATCTGCAGAGGTGGAATGTTGACGAATACGCAGGATCGGCAGCATCAGAAGCTCACGCCTGCATGGTCCAGCAGCCTCCTCTCGGGCCAGAGAGGTGTATCCCCGCTTCGACGCGCTCGCGCGCTCGTACACCACGGCCTTCCAGGAGGTGAAGGCCCTGGAGGCGCGCTCCAGGCTGCACGAGGTGCTGTCGGAGATGCGCGAGCAGTACTTCCCGCCCCTGGCCGCGCCCGCGCAGAAGGTCGGCATCCTCGGACCGCTCCCCGTCTCCGCTCTAGGGCATGAGTCCTCGGCCCCGCCAGCCCGCCCCTGCAGTTGGGCACAGGACCTTCGACATCCGAAGGGAGCAGCAGACAGTTGGGGCGCTGAAGAAGGAACCCTCTTCGTTTGGAACGGGCTCGGTGCTCTTTGATTGGTTTACAGGTTACCTGAGGTTTTCCTTGGGCTTTCGACGGAAAGTCGAAGTTCAGCGTACGGGGAAAAGGGGCCTCGTATCTCATTTTGGGTTCCTTAGGCCAACGCCCCGACTGTGTGACTCCCCGCCCAGGGGGGCAGGTCTCAGGAGGAAAAGAAACACACCGACACAATGAATCGTCGATCCCCCCGAAAAGATGGGAAAAATATGGGCAGTGGGAGGGAAGACAAAAACCCAGAACATGTGGGAAACGATGGGGAATCCTGCTATTTGTGTGTATTTGTTTGTGTGTCCCAGTTTCACTTCAAGATCGGCCAGCGGGGCCAGGGCCCTGCCCGTCGGGAGGCGGGGATGCGGCGGAGCGGTGCAGCGGGCAAGGCGCTGGAGGACCTGAGGGCCGCGCGGCAGGAGGGCGGCCAGGCCCAGGCCAGGGAGGAGGACGGCGAGGAGCCCCTCCCCCTCCCCCTCCTCCTCCTCCTCCTCCCTCTCCTCCTCCTTCTCCTCCTCCTCCTCCTCCTCCTCCCCCTCCTCCTCCTCCTCCCCCTCCTCCTCCTCCTCCTCCTCTCCTCCTCCTCCTCCTCCTCCTCCTCCTCCTCCTCCTCCTCCTCCTCCTCCCCCTCTGGCCCTCGACGTCATCCCCAGGCCGACGACGACGACGACGGCGACGCCGACGCCGGCGACGCCGACAACGACGACGGCGACGACGACGGCGACGATGGCGACGGCGACGACGACGACGACGATGACGGCGGCGAGGAGCCCGTGGACCTCGACGCCGTCCCCGGGCCGACGCCGCCGACGCCGACGCCAACGCCGACGCCGACGCCCACGCCGACGGCGACGACACCGACGACGACGGTGGCGGCGGCGGCGAGGAGCCCGTGGACCTCGACGCCAGAACTCGGCTCCCGAAGACGACGACGCCGATACCGACAATGATGATGACTTCGCCGACGACGCCGAGGACGCCGCCGCCGCCGACGACGACGACGACGACGACGACGGCACCAACGACGGCGACGCCGATAACGGCGGGGACGGCGACAACGACGACGACGTCGCCGCCGACGACGCCGACGACGACGACGAGGAGGAGCCCGTGGACCTCGACGCCATCCCTTGGTGACGCCTACGACGCCAACGCAAACGCCGATGCCGATGCCGACGACGACGACAAAGACGACGGCGAGGAGCCCGTAGACCTCGACGCCAACCCTGGGCCGACGACGACGACGACGATGACTTCGCCATCGACGTTGAAGACGCCGACGACGATGACGGCGACGACGACGGCGACGCCTACAACGACGACGGCGACGACGGCGATGACGGCGAGGAGCCCGTGGACCTCGACGACATCCTTGGACCGACGACGACGGCGGTGGCGACGGCGACGACGACGACGGCGAGGAGTCCGTGGACTTCGACGCCAACTTGGGCCGACGACGCCGACGCTGTCGACGATGACGACAACGCTGACGCCGACGCCGACGATGACTACGCCAACGGCGCCGAAGACGCCGACGACGACGGCGACGGCGACGACGACGGCGACGATGGCAACTGCGACGGCGATTGCGACGGCGACGATGGCGACGGCGACGGCGACTGCGACGACGACGATGACGGCGGCGACAACGACGACGGCGACGATGGCGACTGCGACCGCGACGCCGACGACGACGACAGCGACGGCGACGACGACGGCGACGATGGCGACGGCTACGGCGGCGCCGACAACGACGACGACGGCGGTGGGGACGACGACGACGTCGACGGTTACGACGATAACGACGTCGGCGAGGAGCCATTGGACCTCGACGGCATCCCTGGGCCGACGCTGAAGCGCCGACGCCGATGCCGACGACGACGACGACGACGACGCCGGGTCCGACGACGACGACGACCACGACCACGACCACGACGACGACGACGACGACGACGGCGGCGGCGGCCACGACGACGTCGATGACGACGGCGGCGACGACGACGACGCCGATGCCGACGCCGACGAAGACCACGACAGCGACGACAACGGCGACGCCGACAACGACGACGACGGCGGCGACGACGACGACGACGTCGACGGCGACGGCGACGACGACGGCGACGACGACGACGCCAACGACGACGACGGCGGGGAACCCTTAAATCTCGGCGCCGTCCGTGGGCCGATTCCGCCGACGCCGACGATGACGTCGACGCCGATGCAGATGCCGACGTGGAAGACGACGACGACGATGACGACGACGACGACAACGAGCCTGGGTTCGCAACGCATGCTCGTGTGGTACATCCCCAACCTCGGCGACGACGTCGACGATGGCGATGACGACGACGACGACGACGACGGCGACGGCGGCGGCGACGGCGGCGGCGGCGGGAATGCTGACGACGACGACGGCGGTGACGACGAAAAAAGCGACGGTGACGACGACGACGACGACGACGACGACGACGACGACGACGACGACGGCGGCGGCGGTGGCGGCGGCGGCGGCGAAGATGCCGATGCCGACGGCGACGACGACGTCGAGGAGAACATGGACCTTGACGCCATCCCTGGGCCGACGCGGACGACGACGGCGGTGACGACGACGACGGCGGGGAGCCCGCGGACCTCGATGCCATCCCTGGACCGACGACGCCGACGCCGACGACGGCGACGCCGACGCCGACGCCAACGACGCTGACGCCAGGACCGACGCCGATCGACGCCATCCCTGGGACGACGCCGACACCGCCGACACCGACGACGACGACGGCGCCGACGACGACGACGCCGACGCCGACGACGACTACGGAGACGACGACGACGATGACGACGCCAACGACGACGACGACGACGATGGCGACGACGCCGACGATGTCAAGGAGCCCGTGGACGTGGACGCCATCCCTGGGCCGACGCTGGCGACGCCGTTGCCGACGCCGACGACGACGACGATGCCGAAAACGACGACGCCGAAGTCCACGACGGCGACGGCGACGGCGAGGACGACGACGACGACGACGACGACTGCGGCGACGACGGCGACGACGACGATGGTAGCGGGTGCGACGACGACGACGACGGCGAGGAGTCCGTGGGCTTCGACGCCATCCCCTGGGCCGACGCCTGCGACGACGACGCCGACGCCGACGACGGCGACGGCGACGGCGACGGCGACGACGACGACGACGGTTGCCGCGTCGACGACGACGACGGCGAGTAGCCCGTGGAACTCTATGCCATCCTTGGGCGACGACGCCGACGCCGACGCCAACGCTGGGTCCGACGACGACGACGACGGCGAGGAGCCCGTGGACATCGCCGCCATCCCTTGGCTGACGCAAACGACGCCGTTGCCGACGTCGGCGACGACAACGACGACGACGACAAACGACGGCGAAGGCCACCTTGTCGGCGGCGGCGAGGGTTACGGCGACGACGACGACGCCGACGACGACGAGAAGGCCACGGCAATGGCGACGGCGACGACGACGACGATGATTGCGGCGACGACGGCGTCGACGACGACGACGACGACGACGGTGGCGGGTGCGACGACGTCGACGACGACGGCGAGGAGCCCGTGGCCCTCGACGCCGTAGCTTGGCCTTCGCCCTCGACGCCGACGACGACGACGATGGCGGCGACGACGACGAAGACGGCGAGGAGCCCGTGGACCTCGGTGCCATCCCTGGGCCGCCGACGGCGATGGCGACGATGCCGACGCCGACGCTGGGTCCGACGCCGACGACGACTGCGAAGCCGACGCCACCGCCGCCGCCACTGACGACGACGATGACTACGACGACGACGACGACGACGGCGAGGAGCCCGTGGACCTCGCCGCCATCTCTTGGCTGACGCAGACGACGCCGATGTCGACGACGACGCCGACGCCGACGCCGATGCCAGCGACGACGATGGCGACGACGACGACGATGGCGACGGCGACAGCGACGGCGACGGCGACGGCGACGACGACGACAAACGACGACGACAAACGACGGCGAAGGCCACGTTGACGGCGACGGCAAGGGTTACTGCGACGACGATGACGACGGCGAGGACGAGCGCCACGGCAACGGCAATGGCGGCGACGACGACGACAATTGCGGCGACGACGGCGACGACGACGGTGGCGGGTGCGACGACGTCGACGACGACGACGGCGAGGAATCCGTGGACCTCGACGCCGTAGCTTGGCCGACGCCTTCGACGCCGACGACGACGCCGACGCCGACGCCGACGCCGGCGACGGCGACGGTGACGACGACGACGACGACGGCGACGACAACGACGACGACAACGACGACGGCGAGGAGCCCGTGGACCTCGATGCCATCCCTGGGCCGCCGACGCCGACGATGCCGACGCCGACGCCGACGCCGACGCTGGGTCCGGCGCCGACGACGGTGACGCCGACGCCACCGCCGCCGCCACCGATGACGACTATGATGACGACGACAACGACGACGGCGAGGAGCCCGTGGACCTCGCCGCCATCCCTTGGCTGACGCAAACGACGCCCTTGTCTACGCCGAAGTTGACGACGACGACCACGACGACGACGGCGACGGCGACGGCGACGGCGACGGCGACGGCGACGGCGACGGCGACGGCGACGGCGGCGACGACGGCGACGGCGGCGGCGGCGACGGCGACGGCGACGGCGTCGGCGACGGCGACGACGGCGAGGAGCCCGTGGACCTCGACGCCATCCCCGGGCCGGGGATCGAGGGCGAGGATCGGCGGCGCGCCGAGGGCGGGTGCTCGGCGGCGGGCCTCGGGGGGGGGAACTGTCAGGAGGGAAAACACACTTTTTTGATCCGCGGGCCGCGCACGACTTTACTTTGTTGGCGAATTTAATTTGTTTTAGGGTTTTAACAAATGGTCGCAGCCACGCAGAGGGCGCGCGTAGCGACGCCCCAAATGCTCGGTCTCCAGTACTTCTACGTGGCGGCGCCCCCGCAGGCACGCAGAAGGCACGCGTGGCGGCGGGGTCGTCGCTACGCAGAGCTTCTAAAGACCAAACGTTTTGAAAACCAATTGTTTCCACTACTAAAGTAATTGAGAGAGGGGGGAAGGCAGAAGGAGGGGCCTCACGTCAAGGCCAAAGGAGGGGAAAATCACGCAGGCACAATGAATCGTCGGTCCCGAGGAAAACATTGGAAAACAGGGGAAGTGGGGGGGAAGACGAACACCCAATATCGGAAAATTTCTTTGTGTCCCAGGGCCCCTTTAAAGTGGCCGGTGCTTCAAAGATGGGGTGCTGAGGGATTCGCCAGGCGATCGCAATCGTGGAGCAAGGGGGCCCCCTTGCCGCCCCCTCACCCCTTCCTCTTCTGCCCCCTTCCCGCCACCTCGCCCCCTTCCTCCCGGAACGCAAGAGGGCAAAGCCATCAGCTGTTTGATATCCGCCCGGATTTCTCAGGTCGGCGCTGGACCCCCTCCTTCGCGGAGGAGGAGGAGGAGGAGGAGGAGGAGGAGGAGGAGGAGGAGGAGGAGATGGAGGAGGAGGAGGGGGAGGGGGAGGGGGAGGAGCGCGCCAGGGGGCGTCGCCAGAGGCGAGGGGAGGAGGGCCAGTCCCCCTACAGGGGGAATAGTCAGAAATAGTCGAGAAATAGTCTGAGGACGATTTTCCGCTTGTTTTGTATAGTTTTTTTGTAGTATTTGACTATTGCTAGTTTTCGTCTAAAATCCCCCTGTATGGGGGACAGGCCCGATCTAATGGTCGGTGCTCCTTCAAAGATGGGGTATTGAGGGATTCGTCAGGCAATCGCAAGCATGGATCACGGTGGCGTGGATTAGCGACGGGTCCCGTTTCCGTGGGACACCGCGGATTTCCACCGCCGAACGGGGCGGCACCTGCCGCATTTTGGGGAGGGCACCTCCACCGATCCGTGGATTTGGCGACCGCGCGCCAAATCCACGGATCGTCAATCCACGTTTGCCCGCCCCCGCGAATCGGGCGCACGCCACGGATCGGGGATCCGTGGATGTGGCGCGTAGGCGCCAAAGCCATGGATAGGGGACAGCACTCCCGACACCGGATGCCAGCATCGCGAATCCACGCGTCGTTAATCCTCGCGTCGCTACTCCGGGGGCGCGTCGCTAATCGATTTGTTCGACGACGTATTTACCTTTGGTCCGAAACCCGCCTGTAGCAGGACATGTCCGACCTAACGCTAATCCATGTTTGTAGTTTCTCGACGGATGGGGTCCTAAGGACGAGGTGTCTAGAACAACGCGAATCCACCATTGGATCCTTTCACACCCTTCGGCCCACATTCCTCAGGACACTCTCTTTTTAAGCTTTGAACCACCGAGCGAGATTGTGCAGGCCTTCTCAGGAGGCGGCGTGGCTTCCCAGAAGCCCTCGCTACCTCTGAGGAGCCGTCTCTGTCTTCGGAGAAGGCGTGGAAGACTTCGCAGAGGGCGCAAAGGGTTCCCGAGGAGCCCTGCCGCCTCTCTCGCAAGACCTGCCCCCTCCCACTTCGCCCCAGGGTTCGCTGCCGAGGTACGGTCGAAATGGATACGGAAAGAGAGGGTACGAATATCGACAGCAGTTTTGTGGAAGGCGATTAATGAAGAGGAAACATGCTATCAAATAATGTCCAGATGTCTAAGGAATGTTTCAAATAGGTGTGAAATATGTAAAAACACGTTTGGCACATGTTTATAACATGTTTTACACATGTTAAAACACACTTCTGATTCAATGATCGGATTGTTAGAGTGTCCATTGTCATGGCATTTATTAAAGCAGTTCCTATCCATTTTGAACCTGGTTCGCTGTCGATATCGCCGCCGCGGAGGTGGCAAGTCTGAGACAGCTTCGCCTGCCCGACAGCGGCCGCTGATGCTTCTACAGGCTGACGCCACATTCCCCGACACCTTCCCGTCACTTAGTGTCTTGTGGTCCTCCCTGTGTGTGGAACTCGCGCCCAAGGACGCAGACAAAGACGAAACAGTCGGGGGGGGGTTACGAGTGTGCGTAGGGTGCGCGCTCGAGAGCTGGTGGAGCGCGGGGTACGGAAACAGCCGGCGTCAATGGGGGGATTCGCGTGCGCAATCTGCAGAGAAGGCTTCGCGTGGCCAGGCCACACGAAGCCGTGATCAGCGTGACATTGCTTACGTCAAGGGGGTTCGTGTAGTGTGTGTGTGTGTGTGTGTGTGTGTGTGTTTGAATGTGTGTGTGTGTGTGCCACGTGCCAGGTTGTCAGGTATACGGCGAGCTGCTTCGCGGTTGCTGCCAGCCGCGCCCACAGGCGCCGGTGCCGGGGGGGGGGTCCTGTAGCGCGGGCGCGGCCAACCTTTCCCAGGTTGGGAGGACAACTTGCGGCTCCCAAACGGCTGCAACAGATATTTCAAGAGCGGCCCAGTCTGGCCCCAACATCCGCCCAAATGGATTTCTAACCCGCCGAGCTGGTCCCGCGAGGCCCCAGTGGACGCCAGGAGGCCCCGGCCGGGTCCTCGGGAGTCCTCCGCCGAACAGGCACCGCAGATCGCCCAAGAGGCCCCAAGACAGCGCCAAAGCGGCCCCAAGACGCTCTAGTATGGTTCCTCACCCTCAACTTGGGCTCCAGATGGCCCATGTGCAGGAGCTCACGGGCCCTGTATGCACCCATGAAACCTCCAAGATGGCCCCAAGACGATTTCAAGACCGCAAAAGGCCACCCCGCAACGGCCCTCAGAATCCCTAGATCCGCCGGAATGGCCCCACGAGGCCCAAGGCATCCTAACATGGCCCTGAGAAGCCCCAACGCAGCAAGGTTGGATCAACGTGTTTTGGTTTGGACGATCCCAGTCGCTCGCGTTTTGCACAGCTCAGCGTCCGAGATCCCGACACTGTCATGTCATGTTGGAGCCACACGGCGAAGATTCATCCTGCCAATGTCGATGCGCATGCCGAGGAACGCACGGGTGTTGACTCCGCTATGCAGGGATTTAGTATTACAAACAACGATGAGTTCATGCATAAATTCATTCATACATTAATCATGTATTGAAATCCAATCTTAAAAAATCCTATGTATTATAAATTGCCGTAGTTTGAGGCGTCGTTCTTTCGATTTGGGCCTCGACGACATTTTCGCGGATGGAGGCAACCGAATTGCTCCCATAGTTGTCTCCCTTCAGAGTTTGGCCTTTTCCAGTGCTCAAGTGACTCGTTACCGTTTTTTGCTGTGTTGCCGTAGTGCTATCAGCGCTCTCTTTCGTTTTCATTGCAACCCTATTTGGCTCATGTGTGCGCAATGGACAATGTTATGCCTCCAATCCTGATGTTCACATCAAATATTGGACCGCATGCCTTACAAATGCCAGTGTGACCAGACTCGGGCAAGAGCTCCCATACAATATAGTGCGTGCCACCTCAAAAAAGCAAATACACATCAATAATGTTGGCCTCTTGGGGCTCTCTTGGGAGGCCTCTTCGAAGCCTCTTGGGGCGTCTCGGAGGCATCTTGGGCCGTCTGGAGGCCATCTTGGCCGTCTTGGGACGATGTTTCGGCGACTCGTTGCCTGTTTTGAGGCCCTCGATTATCCCTCCGGCATAACTTCTGGAGCAAAGAACCCCCCCCCCGCCGGCTCGGATAGACCCCCCCCAGCCAGCCCGGATATATTCCCCCCCTCCAGGTCGACCAGACCGGGCTGCCGGGCGAGGGGTTTTGGGAGGGGGAAGCATCTCACACGCCGATAATCCCCAAAGGGTCGGCGGACTATGGGCAACAGTTGTTGTTGGGTATCGTACCCTGTTCTCCGTACCCAGTTCGAGCGTGCTAAGAGGGGGAACGTGATATCCGACGGCGCGAAACAAGTGCGACATCGCTGCAGATCATCCGCAGAGCCCTGGACTCCACCTGCCTCCTGCATCTCTCGAGTCGGGATCGCTCTGTGAGAGTCCTGGGGCCCGAAGTAGGACGTAGACGCGCTAACGGTGTGTTAGCCAATGGCGAAGTAGGAGATCCAATTGTAGGAAAGCGCGGTTCGTGGCCAAACCACTTGTGGGAACGCGTGGTTCGTGTTTTCCTACAAGTCTCTGTGTCGTTTTCGTTCGGTACATTTGCATAATTGAAATGTGGGAAACGGCCTTCCGTGATTTTCCTACATGTTGTTTTGCGTGAGTTCGGTGTCACAAGAAAATTATTCCCAAACGCACCGTTAACCAAGCACGCCGTCAGCGCGGCCTTGGGTAGGGCGAGAACGCCCGAGTCGAAATAGTCGCAACGCCAGGATCTCAGTAGAAGTTCCAAGATGTGGGGCTTCACAGGCCCGTTGGCCTGGTGATCGTTTTCGTTATTCCCCACATGTTTCGTGGGGTTCTGGTTTTCATCCCCGCCGCGTCGCACCCGCGAGCCTCACCTCACCTCCTCCTTCTCCTTCTCACACAGCGCAGCTCAGCTCAGCTCATTACAGCACAGCACTGCACAGCCCATCGCAGCACAGCACTGCACAGCACCGCACCTCTGGACACCATAGGGGGTGCGAGGGGGTGATCTCTGAACGCGGCCGCTATCCACGACACTGTCGCAAAGCCTAGCAGGCGTGGCACTTTCTGGACACCGTAGGGGGTGCGCAGGGGGTGGTCTCTCAGCGCGGCCGCTGTCCACGACATTGTCGCAAAGCCTAGCAGGCGTGGCACTTTCTGGACACCTTAGGGGGTGCGCAGGGGGTGGTCTCTCAGCGCGGTCGCTATCCACGACACTGTCGCAAAGCCTAGCAGTCGTGGCACTTCTTGGACACCATAGGGGGTGCACAGGGGGTGGTCTCTCAACGCGGTCGCTATCCACGACACTGTCGCAAAGCTTAGCAGGCGTGGCACTTCCTGGGCACCATAGGGGGTGCGCAGGGGGCGGCCTCTCAGCGCGGCCGCTGTCCACGACACTGTCGCAAAGCCTGGCAGGCGTGGTACGTTCTGGACACCATAGGGGGTGCACAGGGGGTGGTCTCTCAGCGCGGTCGCCATCCACGACACTGTCGTCAAGCCTAGCAGGCGTGGCATTTTCTGGACACCATAGGGGGTGCGCAGGGGGTGGCTTGTGAGCGCGACCGCTGTCCACGACATTGTCGCAAAGCCTAGCAGGCGTGGCACTTCCTGGACACCATAGGGGGTGCGCAGGGGGTGGTCTCTCAGCGCGGCCGCTATCCACGACACTGTCGCAAAGCCTGGCAGGCATGGCACTTTCTGGACACCATTGGGGGTGCGCAGGGGGTGATCTCTGAACGCGGTCGCTATCCACGACACTGTCGCAGAGCCTAGCAGGCGTGGCACTTCCTGGTCCCCATAGGGGGTGCGCAGGGGGTGATGTCTCAGCGCGGCCGCTATCCACGACACTGTCGCAAAGCCTAGCAGGCGTGGCACTTTCTGGGCGCCACAGGGGGTGCGCAGGGGGTGCGGTCGGTATCCGTTTCAGGCTCGCAACGTGTGGCAGGCGTGGCTTTTGCGCTGGGGGTGCGGTCGCTATCCGTTTCAGCATCGCAAAGCGTGACACGGGTGACATTTCCTCGACGCCACAGGGGGTGCGCTGGGGGTGCGGTCGGTATCCGTTTCGGGCTCGCAACGCGTGGCAGGCGCGGTACTTTCTCGATGCCACAGGGGGTGCGCAGGGGGTGCGCTCGCTATCCGTTTCGGCTTCGCAAAGCGTGGCAGGCGTGGCACTTTCTCGACGCCACATGGAGTGCGCTGGGGGTGCGGTCGCTATCCGTTGCGGCATCGCAAAGCGTGGTAGGCGTGGCAACTTCTCGACGCCGAAGGGAGTGCGCTGGCGGTGCGGTCGCTATCCGTTCCGGGCCCGCCAAGCGTGGCAGGCGTGACACTTCCTCGATGCGACAGGGGGTGCGCTGGTGCGGCAGGTGTTGCACTTCCTCGACGCCGCAGGGGGTGCCTTGGGGGTGCGGTCGCTATCCATTTCGGGCTCGCAAAATGTGGCTGGCGCGACGCGTCTCCTCTCCACCTCTCCTCTGGACTTGCGTCACCAACGGTATCGGCGGGGCAACGGCCACCAACATCATTCTCACATGCTTCACTTCAGCTCTCATTATTCCAGCCATGATATAAGTATGTGGGGTTCCTCGGTCGCGTAATTCCTCGTTTTGCCGATCGGCGCGGGCCCTCGCACCCCCCCTCCCCCCGCCCCCTCCCCCCCCTCATGGAGTGGATCTTGGCTGTTTTTGGGTGCCTGTTTCTAGCAGGTGGGGCCCCTCCCCCATAGGACGCACTGTCGCAAGCAGTCGCATTAAGCAGAGGTCTTGAGCCAGTGCCCCCCCTTCCGCCCAATGTCGAAACGCCGAATACAAAAACGCCCACCTTCTCGGAAGCCCCCCGTGGCTTCGGAACAGGTCCAACGAGCCTCTCGGAAGGCCAGCGGCCTTCGACCGCGGTGCTCCAAGAACCAAGCACGGCGTGAACATTGCTGCTCGGAAGCCCGTGCGGATTTCATCAACAGATGACACGAGATCGGCCCCACCATCTTTGCCAACAGAAATCAGTCCAACACCATTTCGGGTCAGCGCCTCCGGCGCCGCCGCAGGCGTGCTCCGCGTTCCAGGGGTGGCCGGCGCCGATCCGAGAGCTCCGCGCGGACCTCCGAGTTCCTCCTCCTCCTCCTCCTCCTCCTCCTCCTCCTCCTCCTCCTCCTCCTCCTCCTCCTCCTCCTCCCCCCCCATAAGTGCATAAGTGCATGAGCATAATCTTTTTGAGCGTGTTCCCTCTCAGGAGACGACTGCGGTTCGCCTGACGGCGGACAACTGCGCCGACTTCATGTCGCTGCCGCTCGACTTCCAGGGCTTCTGCGTGCACTCGCTGATTGTCTACGGCGGGCTGCTGGTGCCCGGCAACCCGGCTCTCGGCGTCGTGAGGTACGCGGGGCGCTACAGCGTGTTCTCCACCGAGAGAGGACTCGCGGAGTTTTGCGCCGACCCAGACCGCTTCTTCGGCGGCGTTCGAGAGGTGTTCGAAGAAAGCAGTACCGCATAAACACATGCTCGAAGCTCCGCGCAGATTTCTTGGGTCGGTTCTGGCGGCGCCTCTGGCGCCGCCCCTGGCGCGCTCCGCGCTCCGGGGAGGGGGGGCCCATCGCCGATCCAGGAAGTTCGCGCGGACTGTCGAATACCTATGCTTTACCAGTCTGAAGTATCTCCCGATCCCCATGTTTGACATCACCTCACCTCGATGCCGATCTTAAGGATTCCCTCAGTTCCTGAAGGTCTATTCCTAAGATTGCCCTCGCTTCTTGCTCGCCCATCTTCGGGATAGGGATAAGTTCGAGGCTGGTTAATATTCATCGTCATGTCTTCTAGGTGTGCTACAGGTACCCCGAGCTGATCCATCTGCTCCGCGTGCATGAGGACTTCCCGAAGTCCTCCCTGACCGCCATCGTGCAGCAGGCCTCCAGCAGCCAGGCCCCCACCCAGGCAGACGCCTCCACCGAGACGCCCATGCACTTCGTGGAGTCGAACATCGACAAAAGCTACGAGTGGAACGAGTGGTCTCTCCGACGCGAGGCACTGCACATGGCCGACATCCGCAAAAAGTCGACCTCGACAACGCAGACGGCGCTGAGCCACCTGCGGCGCGAGAACGAGACTCAGGTGACGGGCAATATTTGTATACATATCCATTGCTCATGAGGTTTTCGGATCCCCAGCCCAAGGAATGCGAGTCACAGTAGCCATGGATAAATCTCTGGCCTCTAGCGAGGCCAGCTCTTCATCCATACCCACTGCGCCTCGTGTCTTTGGCATCGAGTCGCCATGGTTATGTGTCTAAATCTTGCCCTCGCAAGGTCTACCTGCCGAAGGACGAGGCCACGAACACCGTGGTGGACAACGGGACGAACCCGCCGAGGTGGAGGAAGTACCACACGGGCATGCGCGGCGAGCCCAGGCTCGTCGTCATCGTCGTCGGCGTCGGCGTCAGCGTCGGTGTCGTCGTCGTTGTCGTCGACGTCGTCGTCGTCGTCGATTTCTCAAACGGTTTTGTCGATTCCCAGAGGTTTTCCAGCCTCGGGATGCTTTCCAGCAGTTGCGCCTCGCCGAGGGTACCCGACGCCCCGAACGGCTGCGGGGAGCCCGAGCTATGAGCCGAAAGCAACCAGGGGCCCAGGCTTGGTCTATTCGACCAGTCCGACTCGAGATCCTGGCCCGATCTGATCCGACGCCGATCTTACGATGGTCCGCTGCGGCCCGGCGTTTGCCTTGCGCTGTTGTGCAGCCTTGCGCGGCCGACTCCGTGCCGATGCGGCCCGGCCCGCGGTGGTGGGTGGGTGGAGGAGGTGGAGGAGGACGAGGAGGAGGAAAAGGAGGAGGAGGAGGAAAGGGAGAAGGAGAAGGAGATGGATGAAGAATGAGGAGGAGGACCGATCTCCCGACTCCGGGCGGGGATACAGTAAGATCGAGGTCGGTTCGCGGAGGGTAACCTGGAGGTCTTCGTGTCTGTCGGATGTTCTTGTGCATCCTGGGGAGGGCACCCCTGGATGCTTTGTGTGCTGTGGCTTGCGGAGGGTCTCGTGTTCTCGAGGGATGCTCTTCTGGCCCAGGTCCGACCGTACGATCCGTCCCAGAGCGCTCCAGAGCGCTCTCAGAGCGCTGTGGACCGGCCCAGCCCTTGGAGGGGCCTCCTCAGAGGCGCGACGAGGAGCTTTCGGAGGCCCGCCTCCTCTCCTCGGACGGGGCCAGGACGAGGATAAATCTGTCCCAGAGCATTTTCTGCTTTAAAGAAATATGTAATCAGTCTCAGAGCGTTCTGGACCGTTCTCAGAGCGTTCTGCAGCGCTTTTCGAAGGCCGCGGCGCCCAGCGCATCCTCCAGAGCCGCCGCATCTCGGAGATGCTCGGCCTGTCCTCACCCGAATGCATCCCCTGATCCTCGTCCTGGCTTCGTCTTGACCCGGGTGCTGGAAGGGCCTCGATGCCGAGTCACGGCAAGCGCGCTACCCCTTCGGTGGACGGAAGTCCCCGTGGGCGCAGTTTCCTGGTCGCATTCTCCTTGGCATGCTGCGCCGCCTTGCTCCTATACCTCTCCTCCTCCCTAGTCGGCCGCTGCGTCGCCTCCCCATCAGCTGCGAGGCGGGCACTGTTCATTTCGAGCTGCATCGACGGAGCAGCGAATGGTGCTTTCTGATCCTGCCGCCGAGTAACAAACATTGACACAAACAGAAACATAAACTTTCAGAACTCCGAGCGGCACTGGCCCCCCCCTGCCTGGCGCGCCGCGCGCTCCAGGTGCGGCACCGGAAGCGCAGACAGGGTGAGGTCCAGCGCCGATCCAAGAAACCCGTGCGGACCTCTCAAGGTTTATGTCCTCATGTCAATGCTTACTCCTCTATGCCAGGCCCATGAGGGTTGTGGACGTTAAGTTCGACCTCTGAGATGGGCCGCGCCCGTGCGCGACACGTGCGCGGTGCCGCGCTGGGCGGGGTTCGGCAGTGGCTGGCCTCAGCCCCGGTCCGCCCGCCTGGCCTCAGCCCTGGCCCGCGCGCCGGCTTGGCCGAAGCTTGATCACACCCCACGTTGGCGGCGCGCAGAAGGGGGTAGGGGGAGGGGAAGATGCTTCTTAGAAGGAGGCTGCTTCTTAGAAGGCGACAGGCCTACATCTGTAGACAAGGCCCGCGCCTTCCAAGAAGCGGGGGTGCTTCTAAGAATCCTTCCCCCCTCCCCCTACCCCCCTGTTCGCGCCACCAACCACTCGGAGGCCTGCGGTAGGCTCGTTCGGTAGCAAATCATGGGAGCCTTGTAAACCGTCTTAGTTCCGTCTTTGGCGTCGAGTAGCGTCTGGTGATCAATGAGATGGCGCCGATTTAGCGTCGGTAAGCGTAGATTGTTCCGTCGATCACCGTCGAAATGAGTCGGCTCGCGTCCATTAGCGTCGGCCACCAGGATGGTATAGGAGGCTTCCATGAGTTGCTAACGAAGGTTCGCGTCCTGTCGACCAGCGGCGACCTCGCCGCCGGTGTTCAACGTTGGGGGCGTCCCAGAATGGGTCGATGTGGAACGATCGGACGCTTCGGAAACGGCCGATCTTTCAGAGCTGTATGATCCCCAGAGTGTCCAGAATCAGCGCCGAAGTCGGCACGACACGAATTTGCCGTACCGTAGTAGATGTTGTCACCAACACAGATATCGGCGGTGTGCCTCCGCGGAGCGAAGATGATCCCGATCTCGGTCGCGGTGGTAATACTCGGGCTTCCTACAGTTGGGTGAATCGATTTGGTAGTGAACATTCTGACCAGGTGAGATTCGGGTTTCCTACAATTATCAGGAGGGAAAAAACACACAGACACAATTAATAGTCGATTCCCAGAAAATATTGGAAAATATGGGAGGTGGGGGGGAAGACAGAAACCCAGAACATGTGGGAAATAAGGGGGATATGTTTATTTGTATGTATTTATTTGTGTGTCCCAGTTCCCCTTCAAATTAGGTGAATCAATTTGGTAGGGAAAATTCTGACCAGGTGGGGCATGGGTTAGTGGTGGTGGGGGCGCGGATCGCTCTACCTGCCGCCGGAAACGACGGCCGCCCCATCCCCGCCAGGGCCGCGCGCGCTCACGAACCGCGCCTAAGGATGAGCCCGCGCGCTCACGAACCGCGCGGGCTCATCCTCAGCACGCTCATCCTCATCATCCCCCTCATCCTCCGTTTTCCTCGTCCTCCGCAGCCTCATCGTCGCAACTCTCCGCCTGTGCAGCGCTCTCAGCATGCTCATCCTCAGCCTGCTTTGCACCGTCCTCGTCGTCATCCTCGCCCTTCTCACCCGCATCCTCGTCTTCCTCATCCTCCATACACATCGTCCTTAGCCTCGTCCTCCTTATCCCTTCGTCCTCCTCAGCATGGTTAGCAGTTAGCACAATCCTCATCTCCATCCTTCTATTTATACTCATCCGACATGTCATTAGTCTCCTCACTTTTTATCCTCCTGATCCTCCCCACTGTCATCCTCGCGGTCAAAAGGGAGTCAAAAGTGAGCCAGGAGGGAGCCAAGAGGGAGCCAAGATGGAGCCAAAAGGAAGCCGAGAAGGAGCCCCGAGGGAGCCTAAAAGGAGCCATCTCTTACGACGCTCACCGACCGACCGACCGACGACCACGAAGACAACCGACCGACAGACGGGCCGACGACAAGCAGCCGACCGACAAGCCGACGGATCGATTGACCGACCGACGACCGATGACGAAAACGACGACGACCGACGACGATCGACCGACACGACCGACGACCAACGACGAAGAACCAACGACCGACCGAGGACCGACAGACCGAGGACCGACGACGACCGATCAACCGAGTAACCGACCGACGGACGGACTGACCGAGACGACGACCGACGACGGGGAGCGACGGACCGACCGACCGACCGACAACCGACGACCGAACCAACCGGCCGACCGAAGCGACGACGACCGACGGACCGACCGACCGACGGCCAGACGGACCGACCGACCGACAGACCGACCGACCGACCGAGACGACGACGAACGACGACGACCAGACGGACGGACCGACCGACACACCGACGACCCACGACGGGACTGACCGACCGACCGACAGACGACGACGAACGACGTCCGACCGACCGACCCACCGACGACCAGACCGACCGACCAACCGACGGACGACAGGACCGACCGACCGAGACATCGCACGCGCACCAGCGCGTGCGAACAGGCTCCGTTTTGGAACGAGACGTAGCTACAATGCTAGGGCCCCCCCTGCCCCCGGGCATGTCTCCTCCCCCACCAGATTTATATTTCTACAACCCTAAACGGGGTAAGGTTCCAGCGGCTAATAACTTAGAGGGATAGTGGTTCCAGCGCCCCATGCCTTCAAGACAGATGGATTCCAGCGCCCATTTTTTACGAGGGGTGATGGTTCCAGCGCCCCACGGCGTCGGTTCCATCGCACAATATTTGCGAGGGATAGTTGTTCCAGCGCCTCATGCCTTCAAGACAGATGGGTTTCAGCGGCCACTTTTTACGAGGGGTGCTGGTGCCAGAGCCCCACGGCGTCGGTTCCAGCGCCCAATATTTACGGGTGGTGGTGGTCCCAGCGCCTCGTGCCGTCAAGAGAGATTGGTTCACGCGCGCACTTTTCTTCGAGGGGCGATGGTTCCAGCGCCCCACGGATTTCGTTCCAGTGCCCGACATTAAAAGGGGATAATGGTTCCAGCGCCTCATGCCTTCAAGACAGATGGGTTCCAGCGCCCACTTTTTTCGAGGGCAGTGGAACTCCCTTAACTCGTGCCTTTTAGGCCAAAGAGGCTACGGATGCAACGACGATGGAGACATGACACACGCCCCCTGGCGCCTCCGATACGTGCATCTGCGCTCTGAGATTTCACCACCAGCAATATCCACCTGATTCTACGTTGCGGAAATATCACCACCAACACCAAGATCTAGGATCGTTCCTTGGAAGAGGCCGCCCCCTATGTTTGTGTTGGTGCCAGTTTCCAAGCCTCCAACACCTCGGCGGTTCAAAGATGGAGCCCTGAAGGGTAGGGCCATAAGGACGAAGGCCATCAGACAATGCAAATTCAACCTGGGACCTCTTCCAGTCCTCAGGGCCCCATCCTTCAGCGCCCCATCTTTGAACCGCCGACCAACGCGACGCCCCCGCGTGCCTGCCCTGGCGACTTGGGACGCCACTTTGGACCCAGCGCATATGCGATCAGCATCGGCAGACCTGTCCCCATCCCTAGTGGATCAATCGGCACCATTCCAATTCAGTGGATTCGATATCGATCCGGGTCAGTCCGATGCGATTCCGATATTCCGACGACTCGATGCGGCCCGTTCTTTGCATTTCGTTGTTGTGCATCTTGGCCCAGTCTCATGGCGCCACCATCGCAGAGCGGATTTCGTTCGGACAGCGATAGGATGGGCCCAGAATGTCCTGGAGAATTTCGCTCCGCATTTCGAAGTGAATTTCGTGCGGATTTCTGTTGGCCAGGAATGAAGACCATGCGAAATTCACTTCGCTTTTCACTCGCCGTTTCGGGGTGTTGCGTTGGCCGAAATCCACGCAACAATCCACTGCAGCACGTCTGCAAGGCCGGTGCAGTAACCAGTCGACGCCCACTCCGATTCGAGCCGATGTCCCGATTCGACATTGACGGACCCTGCCGCCCCCGGTGGCCAGGGTTCGCTGTCGATTCCGTGCGGGTACGGCCCGGTCCGACGCCCACTCCGATTCGAGCCGATGCCCCGATTCGACATAGACGGACCCTGCCGCCCCCAGTGGCCAGGGTTCACTGTCGATTCCGTGCGGATGCGGCCCGGTCCGACGCCCACTCCGATTCGAGCCGATGTTCAGAGCCCCGAATCATCAGGGGTAACTCGGGTCAGGGCTAACTCGGGTTCGTTTTTCGGGAATCCGAACCCGAGTTACCCCGGGCCCGAGTTACGCCGGATAACTCGGGCGTCCAGAGCCCCAAATCATCAGGGGTAACTCAGGTCAGGGCTAACTCGGGTTCGTTTTTCGGGAATCCAAACCCGCGTTACCCCGGACCCGAGTAACCCCGGATATTTCGGGCGCCCAAGATGTCCCGATTCGACATTGACTGACCCTGCCGCCCCCGGTGGCCAGGGTTCCCGCGCGCCGCGTGCCGGGCCCCATCCAGATGGGGACGGGTGCCCTGACGCCCCACGGGGACGGCACCTGCGCCCACCCTGTGGACCTGGGGTCATGGGCCTGTTTTCCACCACCACCACCATGAGTTGGAGGGGGAGGGGGTCGTCCTCTTCCTCCTCCTCCTCCTTCTCCTCCTCCTCCTCTTCCCCCTCCTCCTCCTCCTCCTCCTCCTCCTCCACCTCTTCGTCCTCCTCTTCATCCTTTTTCTCCTTGCCCCCTTTAACTTACGGTGGTGGTGGTGGTGGAAAACAGGCCCACCATAGGGAGGGGGCAGGTCGAACAGCGGGGCTAAGGTTTCCCAGCCGAGCGAAGCAAAAAAGACGGGGTTGTCTGCACCGACATTGAGCATGTAAGCTGACCACGCAAGGTCGCGCGTAAGCGCCCTGGACTCCAATATAGCGCTCCGCGCTGGTGGCCCGCGTAAGCCAGTGTGTAAGGTCGCTATGCCATCTCGCATCAGACAAGTTTCTTCTCGTCGTTCAACTTGGGATGGGGATTGATTTCACTATGCTGAGGCTCCTTCAGGTCTTCCATCTCGAGGCTGCTCGAACGGAGCCAGAGAAGCTCGGGTCTAAGGATCGTGCTGCATCGAAGCTGCAATGGTGACGCGTCGCGATCCAGCGCACGAAGTTCTCCATCTCGACGCCGCCGATGTGTCGGCGATGCGGCGCGATCCTGCGACCTCATCTGCTCGATCCTCCTCGACCCTCCTCGATCATCCTCCCCGATCCTCGTTGCCCAATTGACCATGATCCCTTCTCGACCAGGTGGAGGAGGGAGGAGGGTCGAGGAGGAAAGGACTTGCTCGGACCTCATTGGGTCGGCCTCCACCATTTGAGAAAGAGATGTTGCATAGTCATCAACTGCCTGAGTTCCGCGCGAATTTTTCGGATCTTCGCTGGGCCCTACTGGCGGCGCCTCCGGCGCCGCCCTGGCGCGACCCGTGCGCAGGAGGGGGGCTCAGCGCAGATCAAAGAACTCTGCGCGGACCTCCGAAAGTTTACTGATCATCACCTCCCCTCCTTTAGCCCTTCGCCGCGTCGCTCTGTAAGAGCGATCGCCGTTGCGCCTGGCCTTGACCGCCACTGCGGTGACTGCTGACAAAAAGCGGGCGGCGCTCCCACGTGTCACGTGCCACCGCTTCTTTGCTTTGCGTGCGCTGTTGACTGTGACTGCCACGAAGCGATGCCCCCCTTCTCCCACGATGGGCCCCCCGTCTGTGGGTGTGGTGTGGTGCTGTGGGTGTGGCGTGTGTGGCGTGGTGCTTTGGTGCTCCAGAGGAGCTCTGGAGGTCGTCGTCGTCGCCGCCGCCGCCGTCGTCGTCGGAGGGCTCCGGAGGTCGGCGCCGCCGCCGCCGCCGCCGCCGTCGTCGTCGCCGCCGTCGTCGTCGACGACGTCGTCGTCGTCATCGTCGCCGTCGCCGTGGTCGTTGTCGCCGTCGTCGTTGTCGTCGCCGTCGTCGTTCGCGCCGTCGTCGTCGTCGTCGTCGTCGTCACCCCCCCCATCCCATCTGGGGTGGGTGGCCATGGAGTCCAGGGACTGATCCCATCTGGGGGGGAGGGGCGCATGGGCCCTCGACCCGGAATCATATATGGTCGGGTGCGGCGGGCCCGCATCGACGAGCAAACACAAGCGCCGCTGCGTGATTCCCCACCCCGAACTAAACCGCCGGATCGGTTTGGGAGGTTGCAGCAGCGGTCGCGGCGGCCACAAATCGGGGCAGGGTTTTTGTCAAGAAGTGGTATGCGCCTTCCCAGCGTCCACCCCCCGCTCTGTGACGCAGACGAGGTCCATAATTCATTATCGAAGACGCCTACGGCGAATCACCGCCGCCCCCTGCCCCTTTGGAAGTGCCTCTGTGGCCGACAGCTGGGCCAGAGCTTGGCCAAGCTATCGGGCCAGTTGTTCCCCGAGTCGGTTTGGAAAGACTTCGGGGATCGCGTGGGGGAGCAAGAATAGGAGGAGGAGGAGGATGAGGAAAAGAGAGGAGGAGGAGGAGGAGGAGGAGGAGGAGGCCTCTTGGGCGCCTCTTGGGGCACTCTTGGGGCCTCCTGGGAGCTTCCTGGGGCTCTCTTGGAGGGTTTTTGATGGCCTTTGGGGGCTTCTTGGGGGCCTCTTTGGCTGTCTTAGGGCGTTCCTGGCTCGTCTGACGCCGTCGGAAGCCGTCTTGGGAGCCTGTCTGGGTCGTCTCGGGGCCCTCTTGGGGCATGTCAGGGGTTCTTAGAGGCCATCTTGGGCGTCTTGGAGGCCTCTTGGGCAGTTTTGGGGCCCTCTTGGGGCCGTCTTGGGGGCCTTTTGGACCGTCATGGGGCCATCTTGGAGGCCTCGTGGGCGAGCTTGGGGGCCTCTTGAGCCGTCGGAATGCCGAGAAGAAGCAAATGCCAAAATCTGTCAACAAACCAAAGGGAAGTCAATGATTTTGGACACTTCGTGCCCTCCTGGAAGACCTCCAGGACGATTGGGAAATTATCCCAGCGAAGGACCCAACCATATGCAGTTGTGGGTACCGCACTTGTGAATATCTTCTTCGGTGAAGCTCCCTATGGGGCCACGAAGCGCTGCACTGGGTGGGAGCGTCCTCTGGCTGGTCGGGAGCCGCAGTCTGGTGTTTTTTGGGGGTCTGCCCTTCTCCGCTCTCGCGTGTTTCGGCCCCTGGTCCGAGGTCCGTGGGGGCCGAACCCGGGTTTTTGGTGGTCGCCCCCGAGGACTAAGGTGTTTTCTTTGGACGCCCGAAATGGGTACTGAAAGAATGGGTACAATGCCCAACAACAATTCCTGTTCATTTTGAACCGGATTCGCTGTCCACGCCGCCGCGGCCTGTGTCCATTCGAGACAGAAGGCCGCCTGCCCAACAGCGGCCCCTGTTGGCTTGGGACAACATTTGTTGTTGGGCATAGTGCCCATTCTTTCCGTACCCATTTCGGGCGTCCAAAAAGGTGTTTTCGGTGGGGCCGTCCTTTAAAACCTTTGCCGTGCCCCGAGGTGTGAGGCAAGGGCCCTCGACCTCGCGACGGATCCTGCCGTAAGTAGGTGGGTGTGGTCAGCGGAGCCGACCACGCTTTCTAGGGACTAGAGGAACTAGGGGAGGAGGGGAGGAGGGGGGAGGGGGAGGAGGAGGAGGAGGAGGAGGAGGAGGAAGGAGGAAAAGGAGGTGACAATGAGGGGAGGATGAAGAGCAGGAGGGGAGGAAGAGGAGGGGGGAGAGAGGAGAACGAGGAGCGGGTGTCGTTTTTCGGCCTCCTCGGGCCGCCTGGGGGTGAGGAACGCCTAAAAGCTTGTCGAACCTTGGGGGCCTCTTGGGCCATCTTGAGGCCATCTTAGGCCGTCGTGGGTGCATCTTGGGTCGTCTTGGAGGCATCTTGGGAGAGATTTCTTCCACGTTCGACTCTTCGAACAAATGACGACTCCGTTCTACATAATGGATGGGAGGGAGGGGCGCGATGTCAGGTATAGCGTGAGTGCACCTATCTTCCTTCTCTCTATCCCCCCTAATCGCCCCTCCATGTGTGTTGTTGCTTGTTTGGGTTGCTTGCTATACACACACACGCACACACATATATATATATATATATATATATATATATATATATGGGGAGGGGGTCCTGGACCAGGGGGGGGGGCTCACTTTGCCCAGTGGTTGTGGTCACCCCCCGCCGGAGACGCCAGGACGCTCCCAGGACCATCTAAAATGGCTCCAGGACGCCCTCAGGACAACCCAAGAGAGGTCCGAAGCGGCCCGGGAGCACTCCAAGACGGTTAAAAAGTTGCCAAAGCGTCCCAGCAGGTCTCCGACAACACTCCCGGGAGGGGCCCAAGAGGGAATTGTCATTGATTTTTAGTGGTTTTTGAAAGGTTTTGGCGTTCTCCCCAGTTCGGCTTCCAGACGCTCCAAGACGGCCCAAGAGGCCCGAAAGATCGCCTCAAGACGAGCCAAGAGGCCCCCAAGAGACCACCGAGACAGCCCAAGAGGGTCCCAAGACGGCCCAGGAAGCTTCCATGACGGCCCAATAGAGCTCCCAGAACACTCCAAGAGGAGCCCCAGATGGGGAACACGAACTGATATTTCGAGCCCTCGCCCACCAGAAGCTCCCAAGAGGCCCACAGGAGTCCGCAAGAGGCCTCGAGAGGCCCCCAGGAAGCTCCAAGAGGCCTCCAAAAGGCGCCGAAAGGGCCACGCAAGACTTCCAGACGCTGGTGATAATGACAATGATGATTATGCAGGGCGGCCTCAGGCCCACAACCTAAATCCCCAACACTGCTCACGCGGCATGCAAGACGCTGCGGAGATATCCTCGAGTTCGGCGGGGGACCTTCGGAGACGACGGTGACGAAGATGATGACGATGATGACGATTATTATGAAGTTGACGACGATGATGATGCTGATGATGATGTTGATGTCGATGATAATGATGAGGAAGAAGAAGATGATGATGATGTTGACAGTGGGAATGATGATGATGATGATGATGCTGATGATGATGATGATGCTGATGCTGATGATGATGATGATGATGGTGATCGTGATCGTGATGTGAGTGATGGTAATAATGATGGTGGTGATGTTCACGATTATGATGACGATGACGGTGATTCCGTTGAGGATGGTGATGTTGATGATCATTATGATGATGCTGGTGATGGTCAGGATGATAACGCCGATGCTGATACTGCTGATTTATGGTGCTTGTGATGCAGGAGTGGGCGGATGATGAAGATGAAGACGATGACGATGACGATAACGATGACGACGATCACGATGACGATGGTGATGATGAGGATGATTATGTTGATAATTCAGGTGACGATACTGACGATGATGACGACGATGGCGATGATGACGATGGTGATGACGATGTTGCTGCTGATGGTGGTGATGGTGACGATTGTGATGATGGCGATGGTCATGGTGATGATGACGATGCCGCTGACGATGACGCCGGATATGATGGTGATGAGGATGGCGATGATGACGATGACGAATATCCTAGCTAGAACTTGAGCGCGCGCGAAGCGCGCGCGATGGTTCTAGTGTGTATATATACTCATATATATATATATATATATATATATATATATATATCGATTTCCCTCTTTCTCACTCTTTCCTTCTCTCTCTCTCTCACTCTCTCCTTTCTCTCACTCTCTCGCTCTCTCTCCCTCTCCTCTCACCGTCTCTCCATCTCTCTGTTCCCAACTGTCCGATTCCCTCTCTCACACCCCCCTCTGCCTCCCTCCCTGCTTCCCTCCCCCACTCCCCCCTCCATCCCTCACTCGTTTCCCTGGTGCAAGTGAGCCAGCTGTTGGCCGACGAAGCGGGCGCGTCTCAATCCGGTGCACCGGAGCGAAGGTAAAAAACAACAAAGTGATACTCCAGATTTCGTAATAAAAGGGAGGGGGTCTGGACCCTCCAAGACAAGCCATTTCAGACCTCCCCCGTGGGAGAACCCTCCAAAACATCGTCCCCAGACCCCCCCAGGCCCTCCAAGATAGCCTGGAAGAGACCCACCCCGAAATGGGACCCCCCGCCCTTTATTACGAAATCTGGAGTAGCCAACGTGGACCCTAAATAGTGAGTTATTGCACTCCGTAGGTGAAAGCTGTGCCGAGTGAGCTGTGTGCAATGTGATGTAGGTTTCTTGCGCAGGCTGCGCGGAGTACATTCAGCCATGATAGCAAGGACGGGGCAACCTCCCAATGCTACCCTTGACTCCCTGCCCCTTCGGTATTCGGCATCCCTCGGCATTCTGCCGCGCTCCGCACGGAAAGCGTCACCATGGCGCCCCAAGGCCCTTGCACCCTTACCGCGCATCCTTGCTCTTCTGGTCGAGCATAATGTCAGCCATGCGTTGTGACCTACAGTCGGGGCCCTGAAGAAGGAACCCTTTTCGTTGGGGAGGGGCTCCGCGTTCCTGAAGTGTGTCGCAGCTTGCCTTAGGTTTTCCTTATGTTTTCGATCGGAAATCGAAGTTCAATTTGTAGTAAAAAAAGGGGCCTCGTTCCTTATTTAGGGTTCCTTAGGTCAAGGCCCCGACTGTATTTGGTGTGAGCTGTGCTGTGCAAGCCGTGCGCGCGGCGCGAGCTCTTCCGTGCAGGCTGTGCTGCCCACGCGGCGCACCGGGCGCCCACGAGGCGCCCGCGGGCGAGAGCGCGGCGAAGCCTCGGCGGACTCGCCCA